ATTCTAAAGGTCTGAAGCCAGGTGTGTTTTTTTGTTTTGTTTTGTTGTGTGTGTGTGTGTGTGTGTGTGTGTGTGTGTGTGTCCCTCCACAGTCCAGAAGATTTGGTATTAGCACTGCTCCCAGAACCACCAATCTGGGCTTGATGGGAAGTACAAAATCCAGTACCCTGAAAGACAGGAGGTAAAAGTGAGTTCCTAGGAAAAATTGTTGCAAACTTGTAGGTGATTTTTTTTTTCTCTCAAACATTCTTCCCAGCTCAAATGTTTGTGCACTGCATTAATTCAGACTCATCTCTCTAAATCTCATCTCAAGAAAGAAAACCTTCCTGTAGAAATCCTTTGGCCCAGCAATTTGACAGCATCAGACACTTGCATATTATTAGACTGTTTAGAAATATGCTCTCAAGTTCTGAGGTTGTCATTCTGCAGTGTTATTTTGATACCCTGACAAGATATTTTTAGAGCAAGAAGCCCAAATTAAAACATTGTGACAAAAAAAGTAAGATTAAAAACTTGATTAAAGGAGAAATACAGCAAACATTTGGTTAAGAGCAGGGGAAATAACTACAAAATGTATTTTGAGAACTGTTTGGAGAGTAGCAGGAAATAAAGAGATATTTATGGGCCTCTATGCTTGGAGGAAATCTACATCTTGTCAGTCAGGGAGGTAAGTCCTTTGCCTTACAGCCTGTTTTGACAGGTCCAGATGCCTTGGTTTGGCCCAGGTAGAGCTAATCCCCTGTCCACACCTCAGGAGAAGCCTATTTAGCAGTTGAACTTCACTGTATGTGGTCATGAAAGCTCTGGACTTACTTTAATCCCCGGATGCTTGATTTGGGGCTGAAATAGGGTTAGCTAGGCTGCACCTGTCCACTCAAGACTGTGTGTGACCTTTCTCAGTGCCTCTATTTGAGGGCCTCCATGACTTAGATTTAAAGACCTATTTAACCCCCCAAACCACTGCTGGAAAGGCGCACACACCTCCATTATACCTGCTAGAGCCTGGCTCCCAAAGTCTGTAATGGGTTCTCAGGTAGTTTGCTGCACTTTCAGAGCTTTGTAGATTCCCTCAAGCTCTATCTTAATGATTCAGACCCGGATGACCTTGCAGTAGGGGTGCCTTGGCCTTTGTCTGAGAGCTGCAGGCACTGTTTGCTGATACAGTACTATAGCTGTGCTAAGAATTTGAATGCCCTTCCTTTTCTAGGGGTCTTGATAAAATTTTAGTTACATAACTGAATAATTTACCTTCAAATCAAAATTTTTTCTTTAGCAATTCTAAGGATGCCCTGAAGTTTCTCATCAAGGAACGGGATAGAGGAGAGTTCTTTGAGGGGATGGAAGTTTCTGTGCCACTCAGAGAGCAGGGGAGAGAAACAGATTTTCAGATCTGTAAGGTAAAGTTCGAGGAGATGCTAAGAACTGATTCCCATGCTCACTTAATTCAGGATACAAGAAACCTGGGAGCTATGTCTTGTAGACCTTGGTAGAGAGTGACACATGATCACTATGAAACCAGTCTGTGCAGTAAAGAAGAACGACAACTTGCATAGAATGGAGTGTGGGCAAACCAGCAGGCCTCACCTCCCACACCCCCTCAAAGATGTCTAATGAGCATGGTGGGTAGCTTTAAAAAAACAAAAACAAAAACAAAAAACATTTATTTATTCTTTTTATTTATTTTTTGGTTTTTTGAGACAGGGTCTCTCTGTGGTTTTGGAGGCTGTCCTGAAACTAGCTCTTGTAGACCAGGCTGGTCTCTAACTCATAGAGATCCATCCGCCTGCCTCTGCCACCCAAGTGCTGGGATTAATGGCATGTGCCACCAACACCCAGCTTTTAAAAAGATTTTCTTGCCAGGCATTGGTGGCACACATCTTTGATCCTTGAACTCAGGAGGCAGAGGCAGACAGATCTCTGTGAGTTCAAGGCCAGTCTGGTCTACAGAGAGAGTTCCAGGACAGGCTCCAAAGCAATACAGAGAAACCCTGGAAAAACTGAAAATAAAATTATTTATTTGGGGGGAGGGGTGTGTGTAGATCAGAGAACAGGTTTTTGTTGTTTGTTTGTTTTTTCAAGACAGGGTTTCTCTGTGTAGCCCTTGCTGTCTTGGTACTCACTCTGTAGACCAGAGTAGCCTCAAACTCTGCTTCTGCTTCTGGGATTAAAGGAATATGTCACCACCATCTGGCCAGAAGACAATTTTGGGAGTTGATTCCTTGCACTTGTGGATCCTAGTAATTAAACTCAAGTTATCACACTTGGAGGAAAAGCCCTTATCCACTGAGCCATCTCATTATCCCACTGTGTACAGCTTTTAAAAAAAATGCTGCAAGGATTAACATTGTTAAACGAGTTGATTTACCCTACGGAGCAATTTTATGCTGACCAATTAAATGTTGATGTGTGTTTCCCAAAAGCAGTGGATTTGTGTTTGGTTTTAGTTAATGTTGTATATGAGCCATTTCCCGGGCTGTTATCAGTTGTCTGTTCAGGCTACATTCCATGTTTGATAATAAAGCCATTGTGTAAGCAGTGTAGCTCTCCACAGCTTAGGACTTGCTGGAGGCTTTTGGAGTGAAAGGGAAGCATTGAAGAGAACAGAATGGATGAGCCTTTTGTTTCTAAAACTTGTGTTTCTTTCTTTGAAATGTACCTGTGCTCGAGTGTGTGTGTGTGTGTGTGTGTGTGTGTGTGTGTGTGTGTGTGTATACATGTATATGTTTACTCAAATCTTTGCTTTTACTGTTTTTTCAGTGTTGGTCATATCCATGTCACTTTTGAATTGTAATATACATGCCCATTTATGTTTTTTGTTTTTTTAGACAGAATGTCCGTATGTAGCTGAGTGATTAGCACTCAGTCAGGACTTGAACTTGTAACAGTCCTCCTTCTCCCTCCTCCTGGTGCTGTGTTTGGTTTCTGTGGTGCTAGGCATGACATGAAGGACGTCTGCATAAGCAAGCACTTTACCAACTGAGATACTCCCTGAGTCGTCTGTTAAGCTTTTAATTTTTAATAATTCTATTTAGGTTTTTTTTTTTTTTGCCAAGACAGGATTTCTCTGTGTAACAGCCCTGGCTATCCTGAAACTTGCTCTGTAGACCAGGCTGGCCTCTTCCTCCCAAGTTCTGGGATTAAAGGTGTGTGCCACCACTACCTGACTAGCTATTTGGTTCTTCTTATGGATAGATTCCTTTCATACATGTATACTGCTTTTACAGTGGCAGGTTTTCCATATGGCCCTTCAAATGATACTTAGTGTTAATTTTCCCTCTCCATATTCCCTCCTTTACCCCTTCATCCACCCCCTTCCCATTTTAATTTTGGTTTTTGAGATAGATTCTGCTGTGTGTCCCAGAACTGCCTTAAACTTACAACAGTACTATTGCTTCAGCCTTCCTGGACACTAGTATTTCAAGATCCCTGCCCTGCCCAGCTTGCAAGTACAAAAACTAAGCAAGGTGGGGGGGGGGGGAATTCCCTTTGACATTTTGGAGTGTACACACCAATACCCTTTTCAGTGTATATTAAAAAATGGGATTGTGCCACATGGGCTGACTCCATTCCCATCTCACTTCTCAGTAGGTATAGCTATAGAAAAACACTTGAACATTGTATGACAGATATGTGGCATAACATTTTAGTTATCCTATTGATGACATTTCCAGAATGGTCTCCAGAATGGCACTGTTGTCAAATATTTTTCTCCTTAAGACTATCTATCCCTAGAAAATGCATGTTTTACATCTTCAAACTCATTGTTTGACAATTCCTACTCCCCATAGAGTGTGTAGGAGACATTCTTTTGCCTTCTTTTGACCAACATAAATGTCCTTAGCTGCAAAATAATCCTCAGGGAACAGATCTCCCAAAGTGAATGTAATTTCCTAAATATAATGGTTCAGGACATAGGAATATAGAATAGTTAAGAGTTTCTGGACAGAAAAGGAACTCACCATAATCCCAGGACCTCTCCTCAAAGCTGTTAAGGGCCATAATGTCCTGTCCTGTGGGGGCTAGATGGCAGAGGGAAGACTGTATTGGCCGGCAGTGGCCAGACCCAGTAGCTACCAACGAAGAGGGAGAACATGATCAAACCAGGTGGGGGAAAATTGCTCTCCAGCCCCTGAAGACATCCAAGAGGTCCTGGCGATAGAATGAACCCAGTATTCCAGGGAAGATAAGGCTTAATTAGTAAACTGCAGCAGCAACGGTCTTTGCACCAGTCAACTGGTGCCCTGGTAGGGACGAAGCAGTTCTGACTGAGCCTGGAGCATCTGAGCGCCTACCAGCCAGGCCCATCTTGTAGCTGCAGATGCTGCTGACTGTGTTTGCCCCAGCGCCCCGGAAGGCCGCGGGCATGTGGGAGGAAAAAGCCAAAGCTCTCGGAATCCGATCAAAAGCCTTGCACCTGTTTCAGCGACCACTGACTTAAGGCAAGTGATAGGACCTACCCGGGCTCATTATGAAACACCTACTTGTCACCCATCCCCCAGGAAGATTTTGGTGAGGATTAATGAAATACACATTGGCTGTACTTTTAAGGGTTGTAAATACCCTTAAAACAACCCAATCATCCCTCGGCACAACCAATTTATTAACTTGGTGGCTACAGGGGCTAGCAATGTATTTCAGTAGAGATTTATTATATTCCATTCTCTCTCAGCACACCCTTTACTCATTTGTTCAGGAAAGGACTGTTACAATTCCCACCCCACCTCAGCCAACACACGCTCTCTTAAGAAGCCCCTAGTGTAATTAATTACAGAGGCAGGAGTGGTATCCATCCAGGAAAATTACTTCAAAACCTTTACCAGGGTTTAAAATCAATAGCGTCTGGCCGGAAGTGTGCCATCAGGTCCTGGTCCGCCATGAGCACAAACAAAAAGAAAAAAAAAAATGGTGTGGGACTGGGTACCCAGCACGCCCAGCTAACTTAACTCACTTACCGAGTTGAGTTCCCAGTTGGAGGAGATGGTTGGTGGTAAACCTGAGGCATGAGTGGACAGGACAGAGAAAGAGGCCTGAGCTCTGTGTTGGCAGTTGCCATGGTTTTGCTCCGAGTTCTGGAGCCGACCTGCCCACTACCTGGGGCACTCAGGTTACAGAAGCAGTAAGTTAGAAGCCTGCGGGGGACCTAAGGAGTGCTATCCTGGAGCCTGGCAGCCCAGCTGTTGAGATGGAAGCCTCAGGGAGTGAAACAGACAAGCCATTAGAGAAGGTGAAGTGAGGCTCGATGGGAGGGAGCCAGGGAAGGGACTGGTTTTGGAAAGCCATGAACATAAAATTCAAGGAAGAAGACAAGAAGAAAAAAAAAAAAAATGGTGCTGTATGTGAGTTGGCGAGAGCCCCAAAGAATAACAGAATGTAACTCCTTTAAACAGTTGGGCTATGGTGTAGCTTAGTAGTAGAGAGCTTGCCCTAGTCCTGGGTTTCATTCCCCAGAACCACAAAGTGAAGGATAAGTGGTAAACACATTTATCAAATATGTAGTTCTGGCAAGATGATGGGAAGTGCCATTTTACTGTTAGGTAGAAAGGCTCACCCATGCCTGTGAGAGCATATATATGTATTAGGGTCTGTGTACAGTTATGTGGCTGTGTTTATGGAGTTAGCTAGAGTTCCCACTCTCTTCAGTTGCGAAGGAACCTTCCCTGTCCTTTCTTTATCTTTCCCATAGCTTCCCTTCAAAGTGATCTGAGTGTGGCTCTTCCTCTCAGAACACAGACAGCAGGTAATCTAATTGTTCTGAGAGGCTGTGAAAATGGGAGGCACAAGCTAACAGTGGTAACCTGCACCTTTAATCCCAGCATTCAGAAGGCAGAGACAGGCAGATCTCTAAGGCCATCCTGGTTTGCAGAGTGAGTTCCAGGACAGTCAGATCTACAAAGAACCAAGAAGAAAATCCTGTGCAACATTTTAGTAATTTTTTACAGCCACTTCATCACCACTAATCTTCTTTTCAGTTCCCTTTGCTCCACTTTTGTGTCACAAGTCCCCTGTTAATCACCACCTTATTTTCTGAGTGCCCTCCAGATGCATGCCATCATGATAAAATTCAGAGATGAATAGATATGGGCCTGGAACCACAGTTACAAGGAAAAGCAATTGCTGCCCACCCCTTAAGGAGTCACAGAATTCTTTCAATGCCATACTATTCTCAATTTTAAACAGAGTTAATGATAGCTAACCTCAAAGAACTTGTGGGAAAAGAAAGTGAGCTAATGTTTATCAGGAGCTTTGTAAAGTTTTCTAGTATAGCCAAGAATTATTGGGGAAAGAAATAGGTGAAATATTCTAGGTTTTCTAAGCAGAGGTTTTTCAGAATGGGTTGTTTTTGCCCAGGCTTACTATCCTAATGATGCTTTCAGAAAGAGATCATAGGGGGAATAGAGAAGGGTTTGGCTGTCAAACATATTTGCCAAAATCTGCCTGACACTGGTCCTCAGGCCCAAGCCCCTCACTGACTGTGCCACCTCCTTCCAGGTGGGGAGTGTTCCCTGCTTAGAGAGGAGCTCCAGAACCATCCCTGCCGCCGGAGATGCTCTGGTCCGTCATGCCAAGGGCCTGAGCCAGGATACCTTCAAAATTGTAAGGGGCTCTCCTGGAACCCTGTTCCTACTAGCCTGGGAGGACTCAGGAGGCTTCAGATCCAAGTCCACCACCTGATCTGTCACTCTCAGGATGGAAGTGGGTGGGAAGTTCACTGGAGCCTTGTCACTACACAGCCCTTTGTGAGCCACGAAGGACCGCAATGGGGCCAATTTGCCAGACACTTGGGACTGTCCACCTGCCCTTCTCCCCACCTCTCAGTCCCTCACCTTACCTGTGACCTCCTCAGTGTAAAGAATACCTGAGGCCTCTGAAGAAGTTCCTGCGAAAGTTGAACCTGCCCAGGGACCTTTCCCAAAAGAAGCGGATAAAGTACACAAAGCAGAGCCTTGAGGCCCTCGGGGACCACATCAACACCTTCCTGCAGCATTACTGCCGAGCCTGGGAGATCAAGCACTGGAAAAAGTAGGCAGCCTCTTTGTGTTATCCCACCTCCAGTCAAGATTATGCTATTGTCCAGACCCTCTAGTCATGGAGAGGGCTAGGGTCCTGGGAGACAGCAGATGTTAAAAGAACAGGTCCCTCTAGCTTCCAGGACAGCCCTGACTGTTCCTTAGCTGTACTCACAGTAGACACGAGTCTTTCCCAAGAGCCTCCAGATGCCTCAGTAGGTAAGACATTTGTTATTAAGTCTGATAACCTGAGTTCTATGAGGTACAAGGAGAGATCCACTCCTATTGGTTGTCCCCAGAACTCACACATGCACTGTGGGACACAGACACAGACACACACACAACACACACACACACACACACACACACACACACACACACACACACACACACACACATTTTTAAGCCTCTTCTGAGAAGAGCCTTCTAGCCTGGAGGTGAAAAGCTGCTATGTACAGGTGCTTGTTACCATCATATGGCATTTCTCTCCTGGCCTCCACCTCCATCTTCTCAACCTGAAACTGAGGAAGCAACTTGCAGCCCATTTCCACTGGGTAGATCCTGGTCATGAGGCAGTGCAGAGGGAGAAAGTGTTCTGTGCAACCTCTCAGTCTGGTCTCGGGTTTCTCTCTGCAGGATGCTCTGGCGGTTTGTCTCCCTCTTCTCAGACCTGGAGTCAAAGCAGCTTCGGCGTCTCTATAAGTACACCAAAACCAACCAGACAGCCAAGTTCCTGGTGAGGCTTTCCAGAAAGCTCCTCTGAGGTCCAGCAGGAGTTTGGTCGATGTACTCTGAGATCCTGAGGGAAGGACTCAGACTGAGAGGCCCTCTGATACCTGTCCCCTCTTGTCCCTTCCAGAGCTCACTGCTGAAGAAGCACCGCCACTCATACCTTCCCCTACACTGCACCCTGAGGGAACTGGCTAGGACATTTATTCCTCTTCCATACTCACACCATGGTTTTAGCAGGGACAGGAACATCCTGAGTCATGGGTGAGGACAGTTGAGGCCAGCCTGGGGACATCTCCAGGACCTGAACACAGGTCATCTTCCCTGATCTCAGGACATGTTTACTTCTTGAGATCAGTGAGAACTCCAAAAGACATGCTTGTGTGGTTATAGCTATTCACACTTAACCTATTAGAGATTAGAGGCAAGAAAATTTTAATGTGTATTTACTAAATGTTTTGAATATTAAAATAGGAGGTATTCACAAATAGTCTATGGAAGAGTAACTTTGCTTTCCAAAAATTTCAGAAGCTCTCTTTAGTGTCTGGCTCAAGGGAAGCAGCTGCAATTTCAAGTCTGATTCAGAAGTTAGTCTCTTATGATATATTGTCTTGGTTGAAACACAGAAGTGTGGGCTCATACAAATATGTTTAGAAAAGAACAGATATTTTTATTTTTATTTGCGTCATACCAAATATGAAACAAATAGTAGTTTCTTAATTGTAGTATGGCGGTAAACTTTTAAAAGATTAATAGGGGGCTGAGAGATGGCTCAGAGGTTAAGAGCCCTGGCAACCACATGGTGGCTCACAGGCATCTGTAATGAGATCTGGTGCCCTCTTCTGGTGTGCAGGCAGACATGCAGACAGAACATTGTATAATAAATAAATAAATAAATCTTTTTAAAAAATGAATAAGCAGCCAGGTGGTGATGGAGGCAGTGGCAGTGGCACACCTCTTTAGTCCCAGCACTCAGGAGGTGGAGGCAGGTGGATCTCTGTGAGTTGGAGGCCAGCCTGGTCTTCAAAGCAAGTTCCAGGACAGCCAGGGTCACACAAAGAAACCCAGTTTCAAACAAACAAACAAACAAACAAACAGAAAGAGCCCATTTTTGAAACAAGCTCTCACTTGAACTCACTCTGTAGCCTAGGCTAGTATCAGCTCTACAGTCTGTCTGCCTTAGCCTCCTGAGAGCTGGGATTCAGGCAGTGGGCCACCATAATCAGCTATAGTGGCCCATGCCTTTAATCCCAGTATTGGGAAGCAGAAGCCAGCAGATCTCTGTGATCTGTAAGTTCAAGGACACCCTGGTCTACATAGTGAGGTACAGGCTAGCCAAGACTACATAGACCTTGTCTCAAAAAGTGATAATAATAGTAATAGACTTAAAACCACTTTAAAAGGCAATCAGTGGAAAATTTGTGTGCAGTTCCATTGCCTCCCCAGCCATAGAAACTGTCTTTAGGTACATTTGTCAAGACTAATAAGACAACCCTGATAGACCCTTTCTAGAGAAGACCTGTAGCTTACATCAGGGTTTGGGTTTTGTGTTGTACATATTTTATAGTTTCTATTTAATTTCTAAAAATTTTAAAATTAATGTTAATTATACAAATGAGTTTTTAAATTTTCATACATGTATAAAATATGTTTTGATCATATTCATCTCTCCACACCATTCTCTTACCCTACCTCACACACATACACACTTACCAATCTTTTCCCAACTAACTTTTTCCTACTTTTATCTTTTTTTTTGGTGTGTGACCCAATAAATTTAGAGTTGATTATACCAACATGGGTATTTGCAGAACATTGGCAACTTAACAGTGACACACCGATGGAAAAAAAAAAGTGTCCCTCTCTGGTCATCCATTAGCAGTCTATAGATTCTCAGGGTGGGTGGGGCCCTTGAACTCCTCCCCCTGATTTTTTTTTTTTAATGGGGTCTTGCTTTTGAGTCCTTGTTGGCCTCAAATTTACAATTCCCTTGCCTCAACCTCCCAAATGGTGGGATTATAGGCATGTACCACCACATCTCATTCATGTTACAGGTTTTGGTAAATGTATGGTAAATGTCCCTATCCTTACAGTGTCTTTCAGAATAGGTACACTACCCCTTCTGTGATCTATTTACTCACCCTCTCCTTCCTTCCTGAGAGCTCTTGAACTGCTCTTTTCTCACAAAGTTTTCTTTTCTTGTAAAGTTTTGTTTTGTTTTTGTTTTTTTCCAAGACCCGGTTTTTCTGTGTATCCCTGGCTGTCCTAGAAACTCAATCTGTAGATCAGGCTGGCCTTGAACTCACTGAGATCTGCCTGCTTCTGCCTCCCCAGTGCTGGGACTAAAGGCATGCACCACCACTGCTGGCTGCACTCAGTTTCACCTTCTCTTGGCTGGGATTATATAGTACATACCTTTTCAGAGATGGATCAGCAAACTGTCCATACTGTTTCATTAGAATCCACTGGTCTATCGTTTGCATGATGAACAGCTCTCACCTTCTGAGGAGTCTCTCAAGGCTTCAGAGCATGGACTAACCCTAAGTAGCAGCAGTGGAAATTGCCTTTGTGTCAAGCACTTTCTGTTCCTTCCTGTGACCTTCACAAGTCACTCTAAGTAGGAATTAGAACTATTACCCACCATTTATAAATGAAACCTCCAAGTGCAGGGAGGTGAGATAGCTGTGCCAGAACACACAGGGGAAGACAGTGAGAATGCAAGTTCTGTTTCCCTGTATGAAGCCAGCCTCGACCTTCTCCACCATCCCTTTCCCCTCTCTGTTTCTCTGCTGCTGTCCCAACATGAATGCTTGGATCATTTTGTTAATTCGTTTTCTTTTCCTTCTATTTATTTTTGTTTTGCAATGCTGTGGTTGAATTCAGGGCCTCACACAAGTAGGCAAGTGCTCTACTACAAATTTGTCAACATAGCCCCATCTTTTCTTTAAGAGAAGGAGGTCAGGGGTCCTGCTGTGTTGCCCAGAACACTCTGACTCCTGGATTGGATGATCCTCCTTCCTTAGGATCTAGTTGGTTGTTGGCTGTACTATTTGTTTTTTGACTCAGTGTCTGACTCTAGTAGTTCCTCTTTTTGTTTGTTTGTTTGTGTTTCCAGACAAGGTCTCTCTGTGGCTTGGGAGCCTGTCCAGGAACTAGCTCTTGTAGACCAAGCTGGTCTCCAATGCACAGAGATCCACCATCAGGCCCTAGTAGTTACTTTCTAATTGTAAGATGTTGCTATTATAGTGACTCCTGGATTTCTGGGTTTCACTGGCCAGAATAACTTCAAAATATATCTTCAGGCAATTTAAATTTTTTAAAGTTAGGATTTAAAAAAGAAAACAAGCATCACTGTTTCATTACAAACAAGCAAACAAGACATCATTACTCTCAAAAAAAAAAAAAAAAAAAAAAAAAAAAAAAAGGAAGGTTTAACCTTATATAAAAGGTAACCTGGCTGTGGGGTGAGGGTAGCAGAACACTTGCTTGCCATGCATCAATTCCCTCAACCCTGCTATAAACCAATGACATGAAACACCTGGGTGCAATGGTCCACACATAATCATAGCCCTCTGTAGGCTGACTCAGCAGGGTTGTGCTTGGACTTATTAGCATGCATAAGCCTACCTAGAAGACACAATTGTCTGCCTAGCCCTCCCTATATCCCCAGTTTTTCTGTGACTCCATCCCCATCCTTTTGGCTAGGCAAATGTGAGATCCCACAGTTTCTCAGCAGCTGGGGCTGGAGTTAGGGAAGGCTGGTACTGTAGGATTTAGGCCCCTCTCTTCTCCAGCCTCTCCTCAACAATGGATCCAATTTCAGGTCACCTTCTGTCCCTTGGATGTACCAGAGAGATACTTGCTGGCCAACCAGGAGGATAGTCTTCCCAGACTCTGCAGCGCCTGGGGGTTGCATGGAAATATCAGCGGTATGAAGGAGAGGCTGTCCAAGATGCAGGCCCCTGGCCAACAGGTTGGCGTTCTGGAAAAGCCAAGGTCCTCAAACTGCTGCTTCAGAGGAGGTGATGCCCACTGGGTGTGAGGGGAGGTACCTGGGTGAGGGGCTGTGGAGAAGTTCAGGGGTTTCTCAGATACAGACTGGAACATCCTCTGAGACTGACAAGCCATCTTCCTTCCTCCTTTCTATGGTCTCTTCCCTCTGTGTTGTTCCTTCTGTCCTTTCCTTCCCCTTCTTCAGTTTCTTTACTATTTTTAGCTCCTCCCCAGATATACTCATTACAGAATCTTTAAAATATTAAGATAAATGTGTGTGGGGGAAACCAAAGAAAAATTATTCAATACCCAGAAGCCAGAACTGTTGGCATTTAATGTGGTTCCATCAGTGTTCTGTGTAAGCCCCGCCCCGCCCTGCAGAGGTCTCATATATTTTGAATCCTGTATTTTTAGGTAACTTTGTGTAAAGGCCCTTTCAAATATGATCAGAAGCAGGGTGGAAACAGTTTCTAAGTGCTGAGAGTATAGAACCTCATGGGGTATTGGGTAGCAGTGACAAGATGCCCACTCTGATGAAATGGAATAAAGGAAGGGACTCATCCTTACAGTGAGCTACATGGCAAGGGAATGGCCTTCCAAGCCACTTTAACCTTTGTGGTGACTAAAATGGTTGGTTCTCTGCATGGGACTGTGGGCTTAGGAGATGGCACCTTTTAAACAAAAAACGAGGCCAGGTAAAGGTCGGAACCTGTGAGGGCTCCTGCTGTACACTAAAGCACAGAGGGACTTGGCACACATCTACCTCTACACTTCTAGAACTGGCTTCTGTGCCACAGTTAGCTGTCCTTACTTGGCTATTGTTGAGGGAGGTAAAGGCAAGATTGGTAGTCTGGAGAACTCAGAGTGTAGCCCTAACATGGACTCTGTGGCTCTTCTGAGGGCATGGCTGGTTGGAACTCATGCAAGGTGGCCTTGGGCATCTCTTCATTGATCCCACTGGGCACAGGAACAGCTGTGAAAACATATCAGAGGCAGTAAGCCTGAGTCAAACACCTAGTGAGGCCCAGAACTGTGTGTAAGGGCCCATGTGTAGCCTTGGTGCCTAGAGTTTAAACTGAGGAAATAAAGCACACAATGGGACTTCAGAGAGTAAAGGCCAGGCCATAACTAAGGTGCTCTTAGGCAATCATTGGATGAGGAGAGTGAGTTCTGTGCTTTTGCCAGCCTGTATCTGGGCCATGTGCTTTGTGTTTTCCTGCTGCCCCTGCAGCATCCTGATGAGGTGGGTGGGAGATATTGTCTTTCTTTAGAGATGAGATCTTCATGGAGCTAATGGAATGATTGTCAGGAAACGCTGTGTGCAGGAGGTGGCTTTGGGACAAGCTTTAAAGAAGAAACATGGAGTCCAGTGAAAGAGGACAAAGGAGAGTGAGAAGTATATGGAGGAAGAGAGACAATTCAGGGCCAGCAGTGCATGAGGGAGATGGAGAGTGGAGTAGAGAGGTAAGGTAGGATATACTTGGGAGAAAGCCTTGGATAGTGGGCTGAGAGGTAAGAGATCAAACCAAGGGTGTCATGTGTGCTGGGTAAGTACTATATCCCTGAGCTACATCCCCAGCACCTCCAAGAAAGGATAAAAATAAGTATTGTTACACATAGTGGCTTGTGCCTGTAATCCCAGTACATGGGAGACTGAGTCAGGAGAATTGCCATGAGTTTGAGATCAGCCTGCACTACATAGTTTCCAGACCAGCCTGGGCTATAGTGTGTGAGACTTTGTTGGAAAACAAATATGGGCTGAAAAAATTGCTCAGTGGATAAAAATACTTGCCACTAAGCCTGATGATCTGAGTTTGATTTCTGTGATTCACAGTGTAGAAAGAGAGAACCAATTCATGGAAATTATCCTATGACCTCCACACACATGTACTTTGGGCCATGTGCCCTCCACATAAATAGTAATTTTAACAATTTAAAACAAACCCATTAAGTGGTGGCACAGGCCTTTAATCCCAGCACTCAGGAGGCAGAGGCAGATGGATCTCTGTAAGTTTGAGGCCAGCCAGGTCAGCCAGGACTACACAGAGAAACTGCCTCAAAACACCAAAACCAAACAAACAAACAAGACCTTTTAAAACTCTTTCTTTCTTTCTTTCTTTCTTTCTTCCTTCCTTCCTTCCTTCCTTCCTTCCTTCCTTTCTTTCTTTCTTTCTTTTTTTTTTTAGACAGGGTCTCAAACTCACTATGTAATTAGGATGACCCTGAACTCTGAATCCATACCTCCACTGGGCAAGTGTTAGGATTATAGGCCACCTGATTTATGTGGTGCTGGGGATCAAAACCATGGCTTCATGCAAGCCTGGCAAGGATTCTACCAACTGAGCTATCTCCAACCTATTTTCTTTTTATTATTATAAAAATTAAAATTGTTATAGACAATTAAAAGCAGATAAGTAAAAATAGGTAGATACAGACATCACATTGTCATTATCCACACAAATGAGACTATGCTGTATATATGATTTGGGGTGGTCTTGAGACAGAATTTCTCTGTGTAGCCTTGGCTGTTCTGGAACTCACTCTGTAGACCAGGCTGCAAGTTCACAGAGATCCTCCTGCCTCTGCCTCCCGAGTGCTAGGGTTAAAGGCATGTGCCACCACCACCTGACTGTCTATGAGATTTTGATCTTAACTTGTTTCATGTTTGGGAGGGAGAGCCTGTGTCACATATGTGGGGAATAGATGAAGTTCCTCAGTCACTTCTCTAACCTTATTTTTTGAGGTAAGAGTCTCTCATTGAATCTGGAGCTCACTGATTGGCTAGACTAGCTAAGATGCAAGGATCTTCCAGTTTCTACCTCCCCATGGTGGAATCACAGCTGTGTCCCATAATCAATATCAGTGTTTCATATGGCTTGTTATTAGTGGTAAAAAGTGAGAGGGTAGCAGGAGGAAGTCAAGCAGACTTGGGTTTGGTCCTGACTGTGCTTCTGGCTTGCAATAAAGCTTTTGACGCAACCACATCCTTGCTCTATGCTTGGACAAGCATCCTCACCTGTAAACGGGGGTGATGTCATCTCTCTACCCCACAGGTTTCAGTGAAAAGCAAAAGAAAGGGACACAGCTGACAAGGAGACAAAATTTTCTTATTCCTCTATTCTTTACACCCCTGCATCTATCTGTTCCTGAGGTTTCTTGCTGGTTGTTGAATCATTGGAACCCTCTCTGACTTCTGTTCTTTCAGATTCTTTAAGGAAATTTCCTCAAAAACCAAAACTGAAGAAAAAGCAGATTAAAGAAAGCCCAGAAACTCCCAAGAGATACCTATGAGAAGACCCACAGGGATGGAGGCCAACTCTCCCTGGCTCTCTGAGCACTTACACGTACCCTCGGGTGGGGGGTGGGAGGGGGTTAAGTAGCAAAAAGAAATTTTATTTTATCAAAGGGATGTTCAATTTTTAATTATAAATAAATGGGTCGGGGAATAATAATCCTTAAGACAATTATACTTTACTTGGTGGACTTCATTCATCTTTTATTTGCTTAAAAATATTTGAAGCCAGGCTTGGTGACCACACCTTTAATCCCAGCATTTGTGAGACAGAAGCAGTTGAATCTCTGTGTGTTTAAGGACAGCCAAAGCTACACAATAAGAGCCACTTCCTAAGTGGCAGATAGCTAAATAGTTGTGGCCATCTAGGTGGAGGGGTATCCAGATCCAGTGAGGAGCTAGGACAAAGGGGCTTGTGGATATTAGCCACAGAGGAGCACAGGATAGAATAACTGATTGAATTGGGCTAGTCAGTAAGAAGTCTGGCAGCCTCTGAATCATCCAGACTTCATCTTATGGGTAGCTTGGGGCAGGCACTGGCAATGGAGGAGCGATGCAATGGAATGAACTAGGGCCTCTTAGATATTGGGGAGATTTCCAGGTGACTGTGAGCCAAGTATATGGAGGTAAGAGAGGCTAGAAACAGAGTCCCAAAGAAGAAACATTAATTTAAAAAAAAGAGAAAATAAATAAACAAATAAACATTAAGTAGTCTTAACAGAATGGTGATTTGGACCAGTGATCAAAAATTGGCAGCTATTAATGCATTTAATTCCTGACAATGAGTTTCACTTCCTAACATCATTTAAAAAAATACTAGTTACCAATATTACAACTGAATTGTTTCCCATTAAATGCAAAATCAAATTTCTTGCTTCTCATACAGCTGCCTCCATTTGGCTGTGTATTCCTATATAACAGCTAGTGGAACTGAGGACCAATTGCATCAGCTTCACTGGTATGCTTCCTAGTTCAGCAGCCTCCTCCCATGCATAGTACCTTGCACAATGGGCTTCATACATCGACACTACCTGTGCAGACCTTTAGTATTTGATATCTCCAAAGCATGCAGAAGCAGCACAGGTATGCAGCAAGAATGGCAAGCTTATGACTCTATGTAAGCTTGCTTGTGGAGGTTAGAGGACGATGGGAGTTCATTCTCTCTTTCTGCCACATGGACCCAGGATGTCAGCTTGATAGCAAACATCTCATGTGCTGAGCCATCTTGTCAGTCCTTTTCTATTTTATAGCGCTGAAGATCAAAAAGGACCTGTGTGTTCTAGATGACCTTTTACCTCTGAACCACATACATCCTCAGCAGTCAGTTGATGGGTTTGGGTGACACCTGTGAGAGGCAAAAAAAGTAAAGGAGGAAGCTGAGAAGTAAAACAGGCACATTGTTTCAAGCTACAGAAACCAGTTAGATGGTGACTCCATTAAGGGAAGTAGGCTCAGTGATTTTCTTTTTAAGTGCATTTGTGTCTGTGTGAATGTATGGAGTATGTGGGATCCTCTGGAGCTGGAGTCATGTAAGGTTGTGAGCAAACTCTGTGCATGCTAGGAACACCCACACCCTCCCCTGGAAGGGCACAAAGCACACTGAACTGCTGATAGCCAGCCTTCTCTCCAGCCTCTAAGACCAGAAGTTCATTCTTCCCTCCCTCCCTCCCTCCTTTCCTTCTTTTCCTTCTTTTCTCTCTCTCTTTCTCTCGGTTTTTGTTTGTTTGTTTTGTTTTTGTTTTATGGGACAGGGTCTCTCTGTGTAGCCCCGCCTGCTGTCCTGAGTGCTAGGATTAAAGGCGCGCGCTACCATCTCCAGGCAGCTCCTCTCTTCTTTTTACCCAGTGCTTCCGGGAAGCCCAAGAAGGGACTGCGGGGGCCCTTGTTTAGCCTTTTGACGACTTTTGACAACAGGATTTGGGAGAGAGGGGCTGACAAGCTAGAAGGTGAGTGATGCTGAGGGGCTTTCCGCAAAATAGGAGCGCTGGTCACTGTGGAGTAGCATCGCCACCTACAGGACATGTCGGGAATACCTCTGCCTTCTAATCAGGCTGCTGGGCTCAAGAACCCCGGGATAGGGAGCTCTCCCACTGGTTTGGTGTCCTCTCAACTCTTTCCTCAAACTTAGTAAGACCTTAGGATTCTAAAACACCAGATCACAGGTTTCTCTGCTCAAAACTCCAACGTTCCTCATTTCATACGAAGCGAGTGTCAGCTGGTCCTGGTGATGCACGTCTATAATTTCAGCGATGGGGAGGAGAGGAAGGAGGTGAGTCAGCAGGTTCGAGAGTTCCAAGACAGCATGTCTCAAAATAAACAAATAAAATAAATAATAAAAATAGAGCCCAAGTCATCGCCAGGTTCTGCTAGATCTTCTATGATTCACTCCTACAACTTTTAAGCTCTCTGTCCTAACCTTTGCTTTCCTCAAACTTGTCAAGCTCGTCACTATTTCAGTTTTCTGTCACTGTGATAAAAATACATGCGATAATGAACTTACAGAGGAAAATTTCTTAAAATTGTTTAAATTATATTTTCAGCATGCACATAAGTGCACTTGAGCCATAGCTCATCACATGCAGAAGCCAGAAGACAATTTGTTTGTTGGTATATCTTAAGCAATTAAAAAATAGTCACTTAAAATTCTATAGAATTGCCTGGAGTTGGTGGTGCACGCCTTTAATCCCAGCAGCAGGGAGACAGGGGCAGGCGGATCTCTGTGAGTTCGAGGCCAGCCTGGTCTACAGAGCGAGTTCCAGGACAGCCTCCAAAGCAATACAGAAAAACCCTGTCTTGAAAAACAAAACAATTCTATGGAATTAAAGGAAAGAACATACCCAAACAACAGTTTTTCCTTTCTTTTCTTTTTTTCCCCCCCAGCCACTGTCTAGAGGTGTTTTCTCTTAACCCAGACATGAGCGTAGGAACTATGACTCGGTTCTGCTGAGCCATTGGCCACACAAGGCAGCATGCAGTGACACTGCCTCTTGCTTTTGGCCAGCCTTCATTTTTCACAGCATGTAAATAACTGGCAAGCTGATGTGTGTTTTTTTAAACAAATGTATGAGTGTTTTGCCTGTGTGAAAGTAAGCCCATTGCATGTGTACCTGGTGTACTCTGAAGCCAGAAGACGATGACAAATCCCTGGAACTAGAATTACAAACAGTTGAACGTGTGAGCTGCTATGTGGGTGCTGGGAACTGTATGTAGGTCCTCTTCAAGGGCGACAAGTGCTCTTAACTGCTGAGCCACTTCGGCACTTCTTCTGTCCCCTAATGTAGTCATTATTTCTAAGATTAGTTGTTTGTTCTTAGCTAAGGTGTCTGCACCCAAAGTATGATGCTGTCTGGTGGTAGGAGATACTAGAGAGTAGCTAGGGAGACTGTGTGTAAGGGGAGTTAGCTGGTAACATCATACATCAATCTGTGCCCTTATGCTAAAGCTAATCCTAGGTGGGAAACAAAACACAAAACCAAACAAAACCCAGGACTCCTCCACAATCTGTCAGTACACGTCTATCCATGTCTGTGGTTCAGGAGTGGAGTTTTATCTTTCTCCCAGACTTCTCTAGGGTAGGCAGGGAAGCAGGCACAGGGGTTGGCACAGCTGAGCCAGGGCCCCACTTCAAAGCCTCCTGACTCGGTTCACAGCATTGCTCTTAGCTTTGTGTCCTCCTCCTTTCGTGGATATAGACATTTTCCATTTGTTTTTATATGTAGCTAAATCTCAAGTCTTTTATGTGTTTAATGTCATGTTTTCTCCTGGCATTCCAGTTTCAGTGTTTGCTTTAAGCCACTGTCCTATTAAGCTTATTTTGGTTGACATCATGCAGTAGGGATGCAGTGTGTCTTTTTCAATTGGCTTAACACTTGTCCATGGGTGTGTGTTTATAGTCTGTAGCAATTAGAAAGCCATTTTTTTCTATGACCGTTTTATATGTAACTTTTTTCTATATCAAACCTCAGATTTACTTGGATCTATGTCCTTAATTTTCTGTTGTTTTGTGGATTAGTTCTGTCATGTCAGGCTGAGATCTAATGAAAAGGAGCAGAAACCATAACAACAAAATTGGATGCAACAGGAACAGATTTGAAAATGAAGTTTTTTCTTTTTGTGGTTGTTTTACATTTTGTGTGTATGTAGCTCTGGCCTGAACTGACACTATATGGACCAAACTTTTGTAGACCCCCTGCCTCTGCTTCTCAAGTCCTGGGAGTAGAGTGTGCTCCTGTACCTGACATTCATGGTTATTCTTCCAAATGGAAAATGGCTGACTTAACTGCCAGGCATTTTTGTTTGCTTGGTTTTTTGTTTGTTTGTTTGTAGACAGGGTTTCTCTGTGCAGCTTTGGAGCCAGTCCTGGAACTTACTCTACAGACCAGGCTGGCCTTGAACTCACAGAGATCTGCCTGCCTCCACCTCCCAGAATGCTGGGATAAAAGGCATGTGCCTTTATCACACATACATTTCAAAACATTTAAAATGCAGCCTCATTTCCTGCAATTCTTTTGACTGTCTCATGGTAGAGTTATTTTTAAAAGAGCAATCCCTGCTGGGGTGGTGGCACACACCTTTAATACCAGCACCCAGGGAGGCAGAGGCAAGTGGATATCCAAGTTCAATGCCAGCCTGGTCTACAGAGATAGTTCCAGGATAGCCAGGGCTACACAGAGAACCCAGCTCAAAACCAAAGAAAGAACAACAAAAAGAGCAATCTTCTTCATCTGAGTAAAAGGCGGGGATTTAGAATGACACTCAAATTCTTACATTGAGGGGCAGTTGGAACTGAATCTCAGAAACGGGGAGTTCATGTTTCAGCTGACTCTACAAGTCTCTTAACCGCCCCACAGCCTTTTACATTCAGAAGCTCCTGATGCCATGAGCGTGGTTCCCAGTGCTGTCGCCATGAGCCTCTGCAGCACACCTCCATTTCCTTGAACAAAAACACTTTCGTTCTAGTGTCATTTCCCTCCCATGGTACTCCAGTAAGAACAATGTACAAAATTAAAAAGCCCTGAATTCCAACCCACAGCAATCACAACTCACTTGGAAACATACACTATGAATGCAGGAACACTATTTATTAGGTCAATAAATCATTTAGCAATACAAGTACAGAATATATCACAATGCTGGTTACAAACATACTTAGTGTGGTTTTATAGTTACAAATAACGGCGGGCGCTACAAGGTGAGAATGGATGAAAGGCTGTCTGACTTAATGAACTGTTTTCAGAGTCTATTAATGACCTTAGATATTTCTATAGAAATTCCTGTGGCACTACTAGTGGGGATTTTCCTGTAAAGAATGTTAGTGTTCACTTGTAATTATTCCGTTAAGGATTTCTTTTGAACCTATTAAACTATAACCCCTGTTGCTTAATAAGGTATAAAAATAGTACTGACCTGGTAATATTTAATAAAACATAGCATTCATTCACATAATAAAAGTAAAAGTTTTAGTCACCATGGCAACATATTTTCCCATAAAAGGAATATACAGAAAACGAGTGATGTCATACAAATGGTACCTTTGATTCAGTGATCCAACACTGTGCACCATAACCGAGTTTTCTAGATATCTATATATAGCATATATATTTAATCTTAAATTTTACTTTTGAAAAACATGTGCACTTCAACAAACTCATTAAGGCCACTCATGCTATAGATACCTAGAACTGCAAATAACAACAGTGTTAAGAAATCCTAAAACACACACCTTCAAATCACCACCAGGATAAAAGCCGGTTTCCTGCCTAAAACATTCCTGAGATTTGGGGACAAAGGAACTACTAGCCTTAAAATCTGTAGACTACTTCAATTGTCTTATTTAAAATAAATCTCCCCTCCCCTCCAGGTAATTTGAAACCCTTTAAAGCCAAGAGGTGAAAGAAGTGTTCATTTTTAAAACAAAAATAAAACTCTTAAAATTCAGTAATTATAAATAAGAATTTTTCCAGTAGTAACTCTGCTAACCCAGAGAATGAAGACTGGAAGCAGCAAGGCCAAAATACCTAGGGGGGAAACATAAAAAAATAAGTGGCAGATAACAATACCTGTTATTTAGCAAACCATCCTTTGAATTTGCAAAGTTTTGGCCAAAAGCTTGCATCATATTTAGGCTCAGCTATTTGAACTATAAAGACAAGTTCAATGGTGGGCTCAAGACTTTGAAGCTTGTACTGCTGCACTTCCATTTGACTTCTTGAGACAGGATCTCACTAGGTTGTCCTAGCTGATCAAGTGCTTTTCCTGTCTCAGCCTCCGAGTAGTTGGGATTAAAGCTTGTGCAACCAAGCACCTTCCTGTACCTAGTGAAATCTTCTCATGGTTTAGGACAAAGGTCTTTAGTGCAATCATTTATTCTCACAATGCAGGAATACCTGGGCAGGGTACTGTTTAGTTGGTTTTTAAAAAGATTGTAAATTTGATAGAGAAAGGGTCCAATTCCTCAGGACAAGGTCTAGTTTGAGGACCCAGGAATATTATGCACTAAAAAACCCAGTTGGCGCTATTAAACTGAATGCAAGTGACTCACCTGTGTCATATGCACAAGCTCCCCAATGCCCCCAACTGGAGTAGCACCAAGCTTTAGGAATAAGAGAATTCAGGAAGGGTGAGACCATAGGCCCTTATTTAAAATTACATACAAGCAATTGATTATTGTGAGGTAAATTTTATTCAGTTTTCCTTTGAGATTTTTGTTTGAGGCAGAATCTTTCTACCTGGAACTTAGTATCTTCCTGCTTCAGTGTCCTGAATACTGAGATTATAGATATATGCCATCATACCCCACTTTAATTTTAAAATTCAAAACACGGTGGTATTCCTCTTATTACCTCGTCGTAAGCATTCTTGCTAAAGGCATAAATGCAACACTTGAAATTATTAGATTATTTTTCAGTACAATCAGGACATATCAAATCACACCACTTAAGAAAACAGATTGTGCCAGGTGGTGATGGTGCACAACTTTAATCCCAGCACTTGGAAGGCAGAAGCAGGTTCAACTCTGAGTTTGAGGCCAACCTGGTCTACAGAGTGAGTTCCAGGACAACCAGGGCTACACAGAGGAACCCTGTCATGAAAAACAAAACCAACCAAATAAACCAACAACAACAAAAAACCCCAAACAAACAACCCCCCAACAAGAAAAAACTAAACAGATTGCTAGAATATAGGCATTAGATTTTTATGAATTTAGAGAAAACTATATTAAAGGAACAGTAAGATGGAAAAACTTGGCAATAACGATGCTGGCTGGGGTAGGGGCTGGTTGTCATCACCCTGTAACCACAGGCTTCTAAATATCATGTTATTTTATCACCAAGTATGAGTTAAGCTTAAACTGAGTTAAGGGGGATGAGTCTTTAAGTTATCTGATTATACAAAAATGTTGTATATGTATAATACCAAAAATTTAGATTAAATAAAAATAATTCATGTGGAAACTTAAGTTTCAAAATATTTATTGAAAAACAATTTAGCACGACATTCCTATACCACAAACATACCACAGGGCTCTAATGGCCAATAATAGTAAACAAAGCCTATCTTGACAATGTCTTTGGAGGTATTAGATATATAGGCCCGTGCAGCTGGAGCTGGGTAACTTAGAAATGCCACTCCTGGTCACACAGCCTACTTGGTAATAGAGTGATACTGAACAACAGACTGCAATTAACTGGAGGAACCGGCTGCATAAACTGCAAGTGTGCTGACTTATAAAGAAATTCAGTTAGAGGAATGAATAAATTCACCTCTGAATTCAAAGCTGTTATCTTAGGGTGGGAGCTTGCCTCATCTACTCGGGTACATCCTCAGTAAGTTCCTTTCTAAGGACCTAAATGTACTGGTTTATCACTAAGACTGCAAATAATTTTAAACAAAGTTAAAACTGGGAAGTTAAAAATGATAAACTCTGAAGTTTCTAATGTTTCTGTACTCTACATGATAACTTTGTTTTCCCCTTAACCAACAAGCATGCTAAAGAACAGAATCTGACACACATTCGCTCAACCTACACACTACTCCAAGCATTACCGGAAGCAATGTGTCTAACAGCCAAGTCAGGAGCTGTCAGAAGACACCCAGTGTCTAACTACAGGCACTGGACAGGCCACTGTGCTAAGAACTGAGGTAACAGCAAAAGACCTTTTCCTTTATTTTTGTTACATGTCGTAACTAAGGAATTGAGTATTAGCTCCACATTAAATAACCTGGCTAGCTTTAAAAAATTACAAAGTCAGACATTACAGTTGGAGGATCTGTCCACTAGACTCCTGGGTTTCAGTTAAAATAACTAGTTGTACTATTATTTCCCATAAAAATGAAGGATTTTCTAAGACTTATTTTTGTGCATTCAGTCTTCTTAATACCCACAAACATACAGTAAACCTAAAATTTTCATCTGGACATGAGTTATTTCATGACTCCTAGCCAGTACGTTTGTTAGCAACATGGGAGTGTTAGGGCAAAGATTAAAACAAGGGTGGCTGCAGTATACAGTCATAAACTTGCTTATGACATTCCCATCTGTGTACCTTGACTTAAGATTTGCCTCTGACATTGCCCAAATCCCATAGCTTGGTATCTATGATACAAATAAAACTCTTGTTTTAATACTTTGCATTCTATCTAACTGCAATTACTCTATTGGAAAAGGCAAGCACAGTGACTAAAATAACCTAAAGCCCCTGGTCCAAATAACCACCTTCCACAGTTGCCTGGTCCTTTTAGAGCCTTCTGGTCCTGTTAGCAAACACTGTTAGGGCATCTTACTAATGTACCAAAAACAGAGTAAGAGCTGAGCTGCTGGTCCACCTGGTGTTGTGACTGACAAATCAACACTGGTCCAGTCCGATGAAACTGACAGCAGTCCTTCCCTGAAACACAGTTCTGTAATGGCTATATGCATCAATCTGGGGAAAGATAGCCAAATCTACATTAGGATGCCCCCCTTTTATTAGTACCTGTGTTACTTTTCTATACTGCATATAAAGAGTTTTCCATAAAATTTCTTTACAATACAGTATCGAATACCTCCACATGGAAGAATTATGTTAAAAAGTTGTTAAATCATCCTTACATAATAAGAATGCAACTCTTTTAAACTCTTAAATAGTTTTATTAGGGGTTCTTTTTTTCTTTCAGGCTTTCTGAAAAATGAATTATTTTTTAAAAAGGTGTGTGGGGGGGGGAAGGTTTCCTGTTGTTCTAATGGGGTGAGAATGTGGGACTACTTACACACACGGCACATGCTGATATAACTCAATATATGCTTATTCTACAGGAACTGCAATACAGGACTACCCGAAATGGGGTCTTCAATGGACTGGACCAGTGTTTCAATGCAATACCAGCCCCAAAACAACATGGTTTTGATTTCACAGTATGAATTCCCTGGAATCTGGGAAAAGGTAATTGTTAGCTGAGGCTGTCCCTCAGCAGCTTGGTCCCTCAACATTTTGAGACATCAGGAAGGACTGCACCACTTCTTCGGTGGACTGGGGGCTGCTGTTGACATCTTCAAGGGCATCGGTCACTGAATACTGTCGATCTCGCAACCGGTTCCAGTTAGACAGAACATTGTGATACTCAAATACTTTTTCATAATTTCCAATTGAGTTGTAAAGTTTAATGAGGCCTCGATAATCATATTCTAGTCCACTGTAGCCTTCACCAAACAGTTTCTTTCCTAAAGCAACATAAGAAACAAAAAAGATCAAATACTGTACAATAATTTTTTGCTTTGATTTCAATACAAGTTTAATTCTGGCCTTGAATTCAGAGATCCTCCTGCCTCTGCCTCCCAAGTGCCGGGACTAAAGATGTGCGCCATCAACGCCCGGCTCCAGGCAGTATGTCTAAGATGTAAAGGAATTAGGTTCACTAGAATGCTAAAATAAATTTCAGAGGGCTTTTAAAAATGTTTGTAATTAATTTAAGCGCGTGCCTGTATGTGTGCCTGCGACTGTTTGTGTGCGCGCTTGTGCTGGAGCATGTGTGTGGAGGCCAAAAGGTAATTTTCAGTATCTCTTCTCCTTATGAGTTCCCAAGATAGAATTCTAGTTGTCTAGGTTGGTGGCAGCTGCCTTGACCTGATGAGCCATCTTCAGCCAAAATTTCAGGTTTAAGGAATAATGTTTTTAAGGACATCTTAAAATAATATGGAGGATGCACAGGGTCTCTCTATGTAACCCTTCCTGGCTATCCTGGAACTCAGTCTGTAGACTAGCCCCTGCTTCCTGAGCACTGAGATTAAAAGTTCGTGCCACCATTCCTGGCTAGTTTTGTTTTTAAAGTAAAACATGCTAGTTTTTGTTTTGTCAAGCTGATTAAAACCTAGTAACTTGGGAAGAAACTTCAATTGAGGAAGTGCTTAGGTCAGATTAGCCTGTCTGTAAAGATGTCATGATTGATGACTGATGTGGAGACCCTGGCTATTGTGGGCAGGACCATCCTTAGGCAGGTAGTATCCTGGGCTATGCTATGTAAGAAAGCTAGCTGAGCATGAGACAGTGAGCAAGCAGCACTTCTCCATGGTTCCTGCCTCAAGTTACTGCCCTGACTTACTTCCAATGAAGTATTATTTTACTTGGAATTGTCTTTTCCAAGTTTTTTTTGGTCATGGTGGTTTTTCACAGCAACAGAAAACACAAACTAGAGCACAAACTATAGAAGCTATCTATAATATGTATATTTTATTAAAGAAAGGGAAGATAAAATATTTATTTTATAATCTGTATAAAACAATACATAGAAAAATAAGCCAGAAACTTATGAGATTGAACATCCAAAGCAGGTGTGTGGTAACTATATAGAAGAAATTAAGGTAGCTAAATATCACCAGGATTGCCTATGAATTTGTGATTTTTCAGAACATTAGTAATTCACTCTCAGGGATTCAAGTAAGTCATATACAATGGCTAACATATATATAGATCGTGATTTGTGACAGAGACCCCAATAGGGGAAAGGACAATCTGTTAAAGAAACAGTACTGGGTCAACTATATATGTGCTTGGAAAAAGTGAAATTTGATTCCTTTCCAGTACCCTGAATGAGTTAATTGCAGACCTAAAAGTGAATGGTTAAGTAAAGTGTCCAGAAGATGATCTTTTAGTAGAATATTTTCATAACTGGTAGAAAAAACTCTTTCAAACTAAATACAGAAGGCACTAAACAAATACTTCAAGACATTCTATTAACATCATGGAATTCTTAGGCTAAGTGTGCCAGCATATGCCTGTGATCCCAGCATTAGGAGGAAACAAAGTGGTCAGGAGTTAATACCAGAGTGAGCTAAATGAGTACCAGTGTCAACAAACACAAATAAAATGAAGTGAAATAAACTGTCCTTCCCAACATGCTCTCTCATGAAAACAAGCCACAGGACAAGAGGAGACCCCTGTATCACAGGCAACCAACAGGGCTCATAGTTAAAGTACATGAAGAACTTCCTAAGTCAACAATGTCAGACAATTCAATATGAAAATGGGCAAGAACCATAATAGCAATTTCATATAATGAGATAATACAGTCAAATGGAAGCAATTCAAATGCTCTAGGTGTTCAGTAAATGTAGATTAGATAAATAATGACACCCAAATCCAATATAATATAAGTCATAGAAACAACCGAGGGACTACTATGCAGCAACACATTACATTAGCCCACTAAGGATACTCTCCACTTAGTATCAGGGTCAAAGCAGGCAAACCTAATTACGTTAAACATGTGAGACTTCCAGGTGGCAAAAGGAGCAGAGACAGCAGCTAGACCTTTTATCTACAGCCTCACATCCCACTAATGACTTCCAGACTGAGGAAGAGCCTAGACAGGAGTATTCTAAATGGCTTGGTGGTCAGGTCTATCCTCTGCAGCACTGACTTGTCAGGATTAACATTTGGGCATGCTCTCCAAACATCTACAAAAAATTTAAAGGTAACATACCAATTGCTATAGATCGCAAATACAGTTTTTCAGCATTTTCATATTGATTCATGTCATAATTATATAAAGATGCCAAATGTCCCACTGAAAGGGCTACTTCATAATCTTCTTGACCAAGAAGTTGCTCTTTAATCTGAATTGCTTTTATGTGCATTTCTTCAGCTTCCTGAAAAATAGTTAGGCCAAATGGAACATTAGATTGCATGTTTTCTTAGGACAACAATTCTACTCAATCAGCAAGTTTGTTCTAAATGTGAATCACAGCTTATGAATAACATCAGGTATCAAGATCAAAGAACATCCCATACCTTTTCCAAAAGCTGCTAATGACAAAGCATTACTGGCACTTTTTTTGTTGTTGTTTTGTTTTTTTTTTTTTTGTTTTTTTTCTCCCTGACAGGTTTCTCTATATTGCTTTAAAGCCTGTCCTAGAACGTGCTCTGTAGGGCAGGCTGGCCTCAAACTCACAAATCCACCTGCTTTAGCCTTTAGAGTGCTGGGATTAAAGGTGTGTACTACCAGCACCTGGCTAGATTTATTATTTTAAATTTACTAATCATTTAGAGATAAAAGAATATAAAGCCCTTTACCTTAAATTTTCTCATTGACTGATAAAGTCTTCCAAGGTTACCATAGTGCTTTGCAGTCTGTACATTAAATTCCCCAAAAGCTTTCTTAGCTAGCTGGAGTGAAGACAAGTGCAAGTCATGTGCTTCTTGAAGCAGCCTCTGTTCCGTCTCTTTGTTGTGACAGTCAATTGCAATCTCCTCTAAAATAAGTGCTGAACAAAGAAAGTGACAAATTAGGAAACTTAAAATCCATTTTCTAAAAGGCCCAATATTCAATTGAAAATTAAAGACTACTATTTACTGAATACATAACTGACTGTAATTTAGAACTGGCTAAGACCAAAGCTTTCGACATTTGAGGTTGGTTTCTTTTCTTTTCTTTTTCTTTTTCTTTTTTTTTTTTGAGCTGGGCCCAACCTGGCTTTGAATTCATGGCAATCCTCCTGCTTCAACTTCTTTCTAATGCTGGGATTCCATGTGTGTGTCATTGTGCTCAGCAAAACTTCAACAGTACACTTTTGGAAAGGTCATTCTATTTACACAGTACATTCATTCAAATGGAGGGGAAAAATGGTTTATCTTAAATTGTTTTTCAGAATCAGCTTTTATTGCAATAGCATGCTACACTTTATAGATGAAAATTTGATTTTAAAAATAAACGGTCATCTTCGAATGGTGGTAAACGCCTATGTGAGCAACTGGGAGGTCAAGGCAGCAGGACTGGGAGTTTAAGGCTAGCCTTGGCTGTAGAACAAGTTTAAGGGCAGCTTGGACTACATGAGACTTTATCTCAAAAAACAACAACAACAACAACAAAACAAACAAACAAACAAACAAAAAACACCCAGAAAAAGGAAAAAGTGAATGCTAGAAGTGAAAGTTAAAGTTACACAACTACAGAGGAGTGCTAAGCACTTCTGACAATTCTGAAAACATCCTTTATGAAGCATAACATTTAACCAAACATAACTGACAAAGTGTTGCCTCTTATGTACTCCACCAACCCAATCAGATCAGAAGACATTTAGATTTCAAGGTTCCATCCAAGGTTTCCAAGCCCACATTAAGGCCTAAGAATACAGAAACTGCCAGCTTATTTTATGGCTTGGCATTGCCATGTACAGAGACAGCGAAAAGATTAGCCTGGTGGTAGCAGCACATGCCTTTAATCCCAGCACTCGGGAAGCAGAGGCAGGCGGATCTCTGTGAGTTCAAGGCCAGCCTGGTCTACAGAGTGAGTTCCAGGACAGGCTCCAAAGCAATACAGAGAAACCCTCTCTCAAAAAATGAAAAGGTCACCTTAAAGAAAAGTAGGTTTAAAGCAGTTTCCAGTGGTAGTCAATTCTTTCCTACTACCTTTACGTGCATACTAGGGATTGAATTCAGGTTATAAGGCTCGGCAGCAAGTCCACTTACTTCCTTACCCATCTCATTGGCCCTTTATTATCTTATTCAAAGAAAGGAGGGACTAAAAGAATCAACAAAATGGTGACTCAGTATTAGTGAGGCTTTGTGTAACTTATTTTTTCTCCTTACTATCTAACTTCATCGCTGGCATTACCGAATGAAGATAATCCAGAATTATTGTAAAACTCATCTGCATGCACATAATTACCACAGGGTGATCCAGTCTCAAAAGAATCAAGGCAGTAAATGAAAACAAGCACTGATGAGGATAGGCAGACAAGTTAAAAACAAGCAAAGGGAGAATTTGGCAAGAACACTTAAAAGCTGGGGTTAAACTATGTTACCGTGAAATCATCTGCATTACTCCTCTATCTTATTCAAAGGAAAAGGATGGAGGGAAGAAGAAACAACAATTTTATATGAAAGAGGTGAACCATGGGAGATGAAGGAACTATTTTAGTAGTCATATATCCATACAATCTAACAGCCTAACTTCATGCCACATAGTAATTTATAATCATCTCAGACTAGATTACAAAGGGTACCTTTCACCCTCTTTGAAGAAGCCAAAAGAAGATGATCTTCAGGTAGGATGTGGGTAATGATACCAATGGCTCTTTCTGCATGAAATCTGCAAAACACACAGAGTCTAGTGTTTTTGGGTTTTTTTTTTTTTTTTTAAGTTAAAAGTGATTTAAAAACATAACAGCATGCATTACAGTATTGAAAGAAAGTACTAGTAAAACTACAAAAAAGAATCAAGTGTTTTGGGGCTAGAGAGATGGTTCAGCAGTTAAGAGCACTTGCTGTTCCTCCGCAGGATCCAAGTTCAGGTCTAAGTAATGACATTGGGTGGCTTACAAATTCCTGTTAACTTCAGCTCCAGAGGATATGACTGACACACTCACACTTAGACTCCTTCCTTCCCCAACCCCTCTCCTCTTCCTCTCTCTGATACATATACATAAATCTTACAAAACAGTTTTAAAGATCAGAGTTTCACTGTTTTAATGGACTGGGAGTCAAACCTAGGATCTCTCACATGGTAGGCTTCATTCCAGTCCCAAATTTTCAATCTGCTGTGAATTAAACTTTTTTGTTTATTTATTTATTTTTATTTAAAGATTATTTATTAAATGTACAATATTCCGGCTCCATGTATGCCTGCACACCAGAAAAGGGCACCAAATCTCATTATAGATGGTTGTGAGTCACCATGTGGTTGCTGGGAATTGAACTGAAGACCTCTGGAAGAGCAGTCAGTGCTCTTAACCTTTGAGCCATCTCTCCAACCCCTTTTGTTTGTCAAGATGGCGTTTCTCTTGACAGCCCTGGCTGTCCTGGAACTAGCTCTGTAGACTAGGCTGGCCTGGAACTCACAGAGATCTGTCTGCTTGTCTCCCAAGTGTTGGGTTAAAAGTGTGTGCCACCACTGCCTGGCATGAATACCCATTGTGTTCTCATCTTCTTCAAAGTAAAAGTCTTCATTATGGTCTATAAGACTCAATCTCTCTCTGACATCATTTCCTCCCATACCTACACCAATCCTCTTAACCTCCAGGCACACACTAGCAATTTCTGGATGAAAAGCATGTTCTTACTCTAGCAATGCTTTGCCTTCCATTTGCACATGATTAACTTTCACTGAACAGAGTACATAAAGTCCCTAAAATCACTCACCTCTCTAATTTTCTGTTCATGGTACATCTAGTTTTCTGTTCACAGCCCAGCCCACTAAGCACAAGGGAAACGACTTGCCTATTATACTTGCTTCTCTCTTACAACTCAAACTTCTTTTTTAAAAAAAAGTTTATCATTTTAGATTATGTATCTGAGTGTGGGTATATGCATATTGAGAAGCCCACAGAGGTAAGCTGTTGCATCCCTCTTGTGCTGGAATTACAAGTGGTTGTTAAGTCACCAGACATGGGTGCTGCAAACCAAACTCAGGTCCTTTGAAGAACAGTGTGCATTCCTAACCACTGAGCCTTCTTTCTAGCTCCCACTCAAACTTATTTATCTTCAAATTCACTAGTTCCCTTTAGTGTTTAATGTGCTATTTAACTTGTCCATAGAGTTTTAATACCAATGACTATACAGACAGGTGCCTTTCCCTCAGCTCTGTTGCTTTCTTTGAGACATGGTTTCATTTGTTAACCGAAGTTGGCCTCAAACTCCTAGCAATTCTCCTGTCTCACTTGAGTGCTAGTGTTTGCCACCATGCTTTTTAGTATATTCAGCGTAGTATCACTGCAACCAATTTTAGTACATTTTTATTACCTTAAAAATTCGTATATACACCGAACATTGGTGGCACAAGCCTTTAGTCCCATCACTCGGGAGGCAGAGACAGGTCAATCTCTGTGAGTTCGAGTCCAGCCAGGTCTACAGAGCTCCAAAGCAACACAGGGAAACCCTGTCTCAAACAAAACAAACAAAAATCCTAGATACATCTAGCAATCTTCAGATCCCTCCAACACCCCAGCTAAGAATTATTAATTTACTTTCTATTTCTAGTTGCCTATTTAGCCATATATAGATGAAGCCATACAAAATGTGATGCTTTGTGACTAGCTTCTGTAAGTTAGCATATTTTCAAAGGCTCAACCATGGTGGAGGATGGATATTGTTTATTTAAAATTCCCAGCCTTCAAGAGGAAGCAGGTGGATTGTTTGAGCCCAGGAGTATAAGGTCAGCCTGAATAACAGCTAAATCTCCTTGCAAAAAAAAAAAAAATAAAATAAAATAAAACCTGTCTTTGAAAAGATTTCTAAGTCAGGGGTGGTAGTATATGCCTTTAAAACCATCACTTAGGAGGAGGCAGATGGATCTCTCTGTAAGCTGGAGCCCAGGCCTGGTCTACAGAAAGAGTTAGCCTTGGTTGGCATAGAACTTACTGTACAGCTCAGAGTGTCCCTAAAAAAATTGTTTTCAAAATATTGGGGGAAAGCTAGCAGGAGTCATTTTCTCCTTCCACCATATGGGACTCAGATAAGGAACTCAGGCTGTAAGCAAGTGCCTTGAATCCTTCATCTTCTGGACCCAGTATTATCACTGGGATTACAGGCATGTCCCCATGCCTGGCCTTCTGATCAGAGATGTCATTTTGTAAATAGTATGTTTCTCTTATTGGTAAAAAGGAAGGCAAGATAGGCGGGACAAGGAGGATTCTGGGAGAGGTAGTAGAGAGGAGTCAAGATGTAGGATAAGACCATGTAGAAACACTTAGATTGATAGAAATGAGTTAATATTTAAGACAGAGCTAGCAGATAAGAAACACTAGTAATTGGCCAACAGCTTTATAACTAATAGAGTCTCTCTGTGTTATTTTGGGGCTGACATGGCTGTGGGACCAGGCTGGTGAGAAAGTACTTGTAACAGTTTCTTTTTGCCTTCATTGTTCCTCCAAAATATTACTATTTACCTCTTTTATATCAGATCTGAAGAATTTTCTTTGTAAGGAGCTATGTTGGCAACAAATTCTTTCACAGCTATTTAAGTCTACTACTATGACATGAAATAGTCATAGGAAATAGATGAACAAATGAGCATGCCTATGGCCCATGAAAATAGTTTGCATGTAAGCCAGAGTCCATGGCTGAGGATTTTGGAGACCATTATTTGTTGCTAGGGATTTCCCTCATTTTGCAAGCTTAGTTACACATTTAAAAGAAGAGCTATAATAGCATATCCTGTTTTTCTGTTTTCAGCAACAAGTTTATAAGTTGTTAAATTTGCCATCAAGCCAGAAGTTATTAATTACTCAAACAAAAATCACTGAAGGAAATACTGAAAAGAACTCATTACATATAGAAATACACTATTTGGCCAAGCACTGGTGGCCCACACCTTTAATCCCAGCACTCGAGAAGCAGAGGCAAACAGATCTCTCTGAGTTCGAGGCCAGCCTGGTTTACAGAGCTAGTTCCAGGACAGACTCCAAAGCAATAAAAAACCAAAAACCTGTCTCGAAAAAACAAGAACACTGGCAGCTCTGCCAGAGGACCTGGGTTCAATTCCTAGCACCCACATGGCAGTCTGTAATTCTAGTTACATAAAATCTGACATCTTCATGCCAATGCACACAAAATAAGGTTAAATAATTATAAAAGAGAAAGAGAGAGAGAGAGAGAGGGAGAAAAAGAGAGAGAGAGATAGAGAGAGATATACATAAATCTTAATTCAAAACCAAAGGAAGTGATGCCTTAAAAATTGGGACGAGGGCTGGGTGGTAGTATACCCCTTTAATCCCAGCACTTGGAATATAGCAGCAGGCGTATAGTTTGAGGCCAGCCTAGCCTAAAGAGTGTGTGCCAGGACAAGCTCCAAAGCTATGCAGAGAAACTCTATCTCAAAAGGGGGGGGGGAGGAGAAGAGAGGGATGATTTGTAAATGACTTCAAAAACATTTTATGTCACCAGGAAGACAAATGTATCCATACAATACTTAAGAACTATTTATTACACTACAGGTAAATAGTATTATCCTTTTAAGAAAATGTGAACCTTACAGTGCATTGTCAAATTTCCCAGAGCTGTACTGGTGAACGTAGGAAGAATAAGCCAGATCTTCATGAGCTGTTGCTACATGAATATTTTTGCCTCCAAACACTGACTGTCGAATGTCGAGGGCTGCCTGAAAGAATCATAAAGACATTTAATAATATTGTATACCACCTAAGTTAATTAACATTCCCACACTCTATGTACCTAATCACTTAAATTTCAAATGGGATGGATTTCAAATGATGGATTTAAACAAGGGCATAACCTAAAAGTCACCCTCCAAAGACCTGATTCTGTGAAGAGGACATGTGTCTTGAGAATCTCATCAGTTTTTTTTTTTTCTTCTTTTTTTTTTTTAAGCAGGAAGGCAACATTCTATCACAGAGTCATAGCCTTAGCCTTAATAGTTTCTTTTACATCCTTCTTTAAAAGAGTACTGTAAAATTAGCAGTATCTTATGTAGAGCCATAGTACAGGATAACATTTACCTGAAATGACTGTAAGGCCTAAAATTATAGATATCAACCCTTGCTGGTAAAAAGACAGGAAGACTGGCCCTTGACAAATCCCCCACAAAGTGAAGCCATTATCTGGGCAACTTACAGACAGACAATACTGTGTGATACGGACTCAGCCTAATGATAAAAGTCCTGGATCATACTCTTTAGTTCTTAAAACATTTGACTTTTAAGTCTTCTACGTAACACTTAGTAAAGCCACGGTGAGGCCTGCACAAATAAGGAAGGGCTCCTCAAAGAGCGAGTTATTTATTTATTTTTTTATATTGGTCTGGTTTTAGAGGCTGTCCTGGAACTAGCTCTTGTAGACAAGGCTGGTCTCAAACTCAAAGAGATCCACCTGCCTCTGCCTTCCGAGTGCTGGGACTAAAGGCTTGTACCGCCACCACCGCCTGGCTTTTTTTTTTTTTTTTAATTTTTTAAAATTATCTTTATTTTATATGCATTGGTGTTTTACCTGCATAAATATCTGTGTGAGGGTGTCATATACCCCCTCCCCCACCAACTGCAGTTAGAGATAGTTGTGAGCTGTCATGTGGGTGCTGAGAATTCAACCCAGGTCCTCTGGATAAACAGCTAATGTTCTTAACCAGACACCCATCTCTCCACCCCCAAAGTTATTTTTACATATGATTTACAAATGGCAAGCAAATACAGGTAAGCAAGTCAACTTAGGTTAAAAGCAAAGGGAAATAACCATTAACATACCTGATAAATTGCAACAGACTGACAGATATTATCTACATTGAGTAAGTAGAACCCATAATCTAGTAGCGTGTCAGAGTATTTTGGGTGTTTGGATCCAAAATGATCTCTGTAAAAATATAGAGAACTATTAGGATATAAAGCTGAGAAACATGTTAAAACAGTATCTTAATAACAGTCACCTACCGTGCCAAGTACACTGCATGTTTAATTAATTGTTCTGCCTTCTTAAATTCACGTTTTACTACACAGGCCTAAAGACAAAGAGAGAAATTTTAAACACCTCTCAAACAGTTCATTAGTGTGCAACAATTAGTTTGAGATACACTATAATAGTAAAAAAAAAAATTAATGATTCCGGTGGGTGGTCGTGGCACACGCCTTTAACTCCAGCACTCAAGAGGCATGGGCAGGTGTATCTCTGATTTTGAGGTCAGCATGGTCTAAAGAGGGAAATTTCAGGACAACCAAGGATACAGAAAGAAACCCTGTCTTGGGGAGAGAAAAAGATTATTTTAATTTGCAATTTTTTCCCAAGTCTCTAATAATTTTTAAAGAAATAGATCTTTAAAGAACTTGGGGGAAATGCTGATAATCACTTCCAGTATAAACCTGTTATAACAAAGGTAATCTACAAACTGGTACATTCCTACCCCTTTATAAAACCAAAATGTTGGGGGAAAGATTCAGCATAGTATTTTTAAGTATATATTCCACTTCTAGAATGGCTTACAATGAACTTTTTTACTTTCTTTATATAAATATATAAAAACATATTTTTAAATATGGTTTTTATGTGTGGAGGTGCCAGAAGAAGGTATTAGATCTCCTAGAACTGGAATTATAGATGTATATGAAACTGTCATGTGGGTGCTGGGAATCAAACCTGGGTCCTCTGGAAAAGTAGCCAGTGTGTAACTGCTGTGGCTATCTCTCTAGTCTCATACTTTAAAAGTATTAATTATTAATTTATGGTGTGCACATGCACGTATGTGTAAACGAAGTTCTTTCTTTCTATCATGTGAGTCTTCCAGGGCTTGAACTCAGTTGTCATGCTTGATGGCAAGCACCTTTACCCACTGAGCCATCTTGACTGGACTTTTTTGTTAAAAAAAGTCCAGGCTTTTTACAGGCCCCTAGCTTGAGATTAGGTAAAATCTGGGACATTAAGCTATCATGGACACAGGTTCACATAATAATTTTTATATGTACAAAAGAACTTCAAGTTTTAATTACTTTTTTTATTGTTGTTTGTGTTTTTGAGACAGGGTTTCTTTGTGTAGCCTTGGCTGCCTTGGAACTTGCTCTGTAGACTAGGCTGGCCTTGAACTCAAGGAGATCTGCCTGTCTATGTCTCCTGAGTACTAAGAATTAAAGACGTGTGGCCCTATCACCTGGCTAAAACAATATTTTGAACCATAAGGACTGCCAGTTTTTGAACTCTGAATACCATGTGCATATACAAATTTTGAATGTATATTATTTCATACAAGCGTATATTTAATGTTTAAACTAAGCATGCAGATATCTTTTCCTCATACAGATACAATCTGAATATTTATGTTGCTATTCATTTCCTCTAAAATGAATGAGCTCAGGCACAATGGAACATGTCTGTAGCCAAAATAAAATCACAATTTGAGGGCAGTTTTGACTACGCATCATGTTTAAGGCTAGCTGATGTTACATACCAAGATCACATCTCAATTAACAATTTTTTAGTTTTTGGCAGAAACAGTGCTATCTTCTACACCAAAAACCTGCAGTCCTTTTTCTGGCAGAAATAACTCAGATAAAACCAACTAAAATGGAATATCCAAGTATTATGAGTACCTTCCATTCAAAGAATGTATTTTGCTTTAAGGCTTTTGTATACCAAAGCAGCAACTTAAGGTACTAATAAATAGACTCAAAGAATTCATATAATTGTTTATAGAAAAAGAAACTAAAGAAAAATCAAATAAAGACTGTCTAGAAGGTCTAAAATAACAAGCTCTCTCACTATGAAATGCAATCTAGAAGGAAGGTTAAATAGACTATAAGACATTCTAGCCTTCAGCCTACAGACCCCACACAATTTCCAATGAGAAACTCAGGCTATTACACAGCTTTAAGGAAGACAAAACTTCAAGCCAAATTAGCATCAAGTATTACTGTGATGTGTATGTATTTCAGTGATTTCAATTATTTTCAGTTTCCTTTGGTAACAAAATTTATGAGACAGTTTTTTGTTTGTTTTTTGAGACAGGGTATTTCCATGTAGCCCTGGTTGTCCTGGCATTCAATATGTAAACCATGTTAACCTCAGACACCCAACTGCCTCTGCCTCCCAAGTACTGGGATCAAGCTACTGGATAGTTTTGAACAGAAACTAAATTTCTAAAACTAAGCAGAGAAACTTAGAAAACAGACCCAGTCCATTATTAAAGACTTATTAACAAGTTAAAGCCAGGTAAGTCCTATAAAACATTTTATTTTAAACATCATATTCACCTTAGAAGCTTGTCTTAAAACATCCACCACAACTTTGACTGGTAAGCCTGCTGTAATTTCCTTCATCGCCTCAACACACCATTTATATGCCTTTGAAAAAATTGAGAAGAGAAAGATCTGTGACAAACTAAATGACAATATTTAATAAAATTATCATGAATTTTTCCTACAAGATTTCAAGTACTTAAACATACACAAAAAGTACTTAACAATTTAAAATTCCTGAGATTATTTTTTGAAAGTGTGAGTTGTTCACACTATTTTTACTCTTATATGTATACCTTTCTCAAGCAAAGTGTGGTGGTGCACACCTGTCATTCCAAACTTAGTGAGGCCATGGCAGGAGGATTTTCATGAGCTCAAGAGTTGGAGGTGAGCCTATGTATGAATCCTATCTCAAACACTTCTACAGATGTGATACACATTCAGGAAATGAGGCATGTTCTGTTTTTCCCAGAAGCAGTTCCCCCAACCTACCTTAGGAAATAAATATTCCCCCTCTTCTAGCCCCTGACTGTACCAAGCTCATCTTTTAGGCTTCAGTCCTAGGCTAGGTTTCCTATGTTTTCCTTTCCCTTCTGTAAGGATTTATCCCCTCTCTCCCTCCCCCTCTCCACCACCCCCTTCTTTTTCTATCTGAGATAGGGTTCACTATATAGCCTTGGCTGGCCTGGAGCTTGCTATGTAGACTAGTCTGGCCTCAAACTCAGAGAGACCCAACTGCCTCTGTTTCCCATTTGCTAGGATTAAAGGTGGGTGCCATTATACCCATCTATTACTTTCTATATTAATTATGTTTTTAGTTAAGTGCTTATTTTGTGCTAGATAATGTTCTAATAAGCACTTAATGTTCACTGATACATTTTAACTGACACTACAGCACCATGGTATTCACTATTATGATGGAAAAGTGAAGCCCAGAGGTCAAGTGGCAGGCAATGAGCTAGCATCTATGTAATATGAGGAAAACAAACAAAAATGACATGAGTGATTAGCAGAAGGTTAAAAAAAAAAGTTATCCTGGATAGTGAAAATTGCTATTATATACAAGAAAGAAGACAGCAAGAATACCCATTATGGTAAATTCTGGGCTTAAGTGAGAAGTCCTGTCTCAAGCTGAAACAGTGACTGAGATTCCCAGAATCATCCTTGGACCCCCACACACATGCATACACATGTATACATGTATCTGCCTACATACATGCTCTCACATCTATGTGAATGCACATATACATATTTATGTATACTACACATGCATACATATGAAAGAGGGCTGGAAAGATGGCTCAGTGGTTAAGAGTAGCTGCTCTTAACCCACATTCAGTTTCTAGCATCCACATTAGATTGCTCACAATCGCCCATTTTAACTGGGGTCCAACACTCTTTTCTAGTCTCCTCGGTACTCATGTACACATAGCAACACATAGGCAAACATGCAAACACAATTAAAAATAAATTTATAAGCTGGGAAGTGGTGGCACACACCTTTAACCCTTGCACTCCAGAAGTAGAGACAGGTGGATCTCTGTGAGTATACAGAGCGAGTTCCAGGCCAGCCAAGGCTGCACAAAACAAACGAACAAACAAAAAGCAAAAATAAATCTATAAAAAAGCCACTTAAGGTAGACAGCCCTGTAGAATACCCAACACTGACCTATAGCCTCAACTCATGTGAATACACACACATATATGAACACACCTTCATTTGTAACCCACAGAACACACCCACAGAAAATTTTAGAGATCACTAGAGACAGAAAGAATTATCTGTTCTCTTCTATAATTTCTTCCATTTCACTTAAGAAATACTGCTAGTCATAAATAATAAAATGCAAAAATAATACTAACAAGCTGCATTTTTTCATGAGTTCCTACCTCTAGGTTTCTGTTTTGAGTTCGCACCCTAATATTAAATGAAATAAACCCCTTCCTCCCTAAGTTGCTTTTAGTCATAGGGCTTTTATCAGAGCAGAAGAAACTCTAAGACAGCTACTAAGTAAGCTGATTTTGTTTCAAAGTAGTACAATAACACTTTTAGAACTATGGTAACTATAATGCAGTTTTAAAACATTTCAATGGTATGGTGCATGCCAAATTAAATACTATGTTTAAACTCATGTTTAATAGTTCACCCAAAATGACATATAACCAAATGCTTCTAATAAGGTTCAGTGAACACAGCATTTCCTTTAAAAGAAATTTGTCAGACAAACACTTATACAAATTAAGCAAAAAAGCCCTAAATTTCACTTGTAAATATTTAAGATCCATCTCACACACTCCTTTTTGCCAGATTTTTACATATATTAGAAAATAGAGTATTTTTCCATTTTGCAACAAAATGACATGAACCTAGTATGTGAAAGCTGGGAATGGTGGTACATGCCTGTAACCTGAATCCAGATTTCAGGAGGCAGAAATGGAAGGATCCTGAGCCTGAGGTTTGTCTGGGCTACCTGGTATTAACTTATCCAAAAACAAATCAAGGGCTGGAGAGATAGCTCAGTGGTTAAGAGCATTGGCTGCTCTTCCAGAGGTCCTGAGTTTAATTCTCAGCAATTACATGGTGGCTCACAACCATGAGACCTGGTGCCCTCTTCTTGCCTGCATGGGACACATGCAGACAGAATGCTATACACATAACAAATAAGTCTTTAAAACAACCCTGAAGATCACCCAATACATGACATGCAATTTATAAGACATGTAAGAGAAGGCTTATTCTGTTTCAAAGGGAGTTAGTTACCTTAAAACACTTACCTCACCATGATGGGTTACATTCCTGTAACACCAGCACCCCAGCACTTGAGAGATTGATACAGGAAGACCACAAATTCAAGGCCATCTTAGGCTACAAGCCAACTTACCTCATCATAGTGGCTTTTTGCAAACAGGAGCGCACATAGTTCTCCATAGAGAGCAGCTCTGTTTGCTTGCTGGCCATGTTTTGATAACTTATCCATGTATGTCTGAGCTAACTTAAATGTTTCTTCACCTAAATGATATTTGCAATTTCCATTTCGCACATGGAGCAACCTGAAAACGACAAAAAGTCCTTTAGTTTTGGTACTTCCAGCATTGTGACCCTAATATCCTCTTACAATAATGATGCAGCACCCAAATGACAAGACAGTGGATGCAAGAAATGGGACTGCATTAGAAAAAACTATTTTTTCTCAATTGGCACAGATGATAATGCTCAAAGTTTCCTGTGATCAATCTCAGCTGATTTCTAAATATTCATATATTTAGCATGTACTAGCAAAAGAATCCTTTTTGTCCCAAATTCCAATATAATACAAAAACAGTAAAGGAAATAAAAAAAAAAAAAAAATCAATCTGACATGTTACCACTTGCCATCACCTTTCTTTCTCATTTTTTGTATGTCTGTGCATCACTTCATCAGTTGCCAGTGCTCTCATTCATGCTGCTTCCTAAGTATTCATTTTTGCTTATTGTACCACTAAGGTAAGTTCAATGACACAGCAGTGATTACCTATTCTTCCTATACCCTCTGTGGTAAAAAAAATTCTGAGTACACTAAAAAAAATAATGCACAATGTGCTAACAATCTGTTGAGTATGAAAGCATATCAACATGCTTTATTTAGAGCAGACTAAACTCTAGGCAGTAGTAGACTATGCACCTACAGACTACAGGACAAGAACAGTTGTTAAGCAAATGCTCATCTATTATTATATGCTGGCTGAATGCCTTTTTTTTTTTTTTTTTTTTTTTTAAAGACATAGCCCTGGTTATACTGGAACTCAGAAACCCTCTTGCTTCTGCCTCCCAAGTACTGGGATTAAAAGCATGTAACACCATGCTGGGATCTAGGCTAAACAGTAACTATTGTTTACCATGCCAACCTATTCAAATTTCAAATGGAAAATAAGCAAACAGAGAAGTCAGGCAGTTTATAATGTATTTACTGCAAGACTGAAAGGCTAGACTGGCAAGATGGCTCAGAGGGCAAAGGCATATAAAAACCTGATGACTCAAGTTTCATCTCTAGATTTTACTGGAAGGAGGGAACAGAATCCTAGTTGTCCTGACTCCAACACATGAGCCATGGCATGTATGTGCCTATGTATACATTCATGCACACCTGCATGGACACAGTAAAAACAAAATAAAAACTGGCTACAGAGATCCTCAATGGATAAGGTGCTTTCCACGAAAGCCAAAGGAGCAGAGTTTGGATCCCCAGAACCTACCTACACAATAAGGGAGCAGGCCTGGTGGCAGCCTGTACTTCCAGCTCTTGGGATGGAGAAACAGGGGATTTCAGGGGCAAATTAGCCAGCTAGACACAGTGAGACCTTACCTCAATAAAGTGAAAAACAATCAGCAAGACCTAATGTCAACTAACTGACTCTACATTGATACATATATGTATCCACACATGTACACATACATATGAATATGCATGAATACCACACACAGGAACACAGACAATTTTTTTGGTGGTGATGTACACGTTTTGTTGTTGTTAAGATTTAGTTATTATTTATACAGTGTTCTGCCTGAAGGCCAGAAGAGGGCATCAGATTTCAATATAGACTGTTGTGAGCCACCATATGGTTGCTGGGAATTGAACTCAGGTCCTCTGGAAAAGCAGTCAGTGCTCTTAACCTCTGAGCATCTCTCCAATCCCACAAACAATTTTTAAAAATAATAAGCAAATTACTAGATCCATACTAGACAAAAGAGACAAAACCAAAATACATGATAACCAGTTGTTGAGATGGCTCAGTGGGTAAAAGAGGCCTAATGACCTGAGTTTAGTATCTAGGACCCAAGTGATGGAGGGAGAGAACTGAGTTCTGCAAGTTGTCCTCTGACCTCCACATGCACTGTGTTTGGCATGTGCCTCAGCCCCCTGCCCCTACCTCTCCTTTTATAAAAATAAACATAATTTAAAAAAGGAGGGCCGCTGGGCAGTGGTGGTGCACACCTTTAATCCCAGCACTGAGGAGGCAGACGTAGGTGGATCTCTGTGAGTTTGAGACTATCCTGGAGAAACCTGTCTCTATAAATCAAATAAATAAAGATAATAAAATAAACAAAGTAAATACAAAGTGATATTGATGTGGTGACACACACCTTCAATTCCAGCACTCTGGTAACAGAAACAAACAGATCTCTGTGAGTTCTAGGTCAGCCAGGGCTACATAGTAAGATGTCTCAAAACACAGACACAGACACAACAAATACACATTGTGATCATCTTAAGTGTGGACATAGGCTTAAGAAATGCCTGCGTTAGTTATTAAAGCATACTTCTGTGTTCCTAGAGACAGATCATAGGGACTGTGAACTAATCAATGGATGAACTGGGACACTGTGAAAAAGAGGCAGGGCCTAGCTGAAAAAGGAGGTCACTAGGAGGACATCATTGGGGGCTGTAACTTGTCCTGACTTTCAAGTATCTCCTTTCCACTCCTGTTCCAACATGCTTCTGTTACTATGTTTTATCTGTGTTGATGAACTGGGGTCAAGTAACCATGAACAGGACTCCTAAAACATTAAGCCAAAAGAAATCTTTTCTCCCTTAAACCGTCTGTCAGGTATTTAGTCAAGTCTAAGATGGGATACCGCTTTTTCTAAAATCTAGTATATTTTCATGAAAATAAAAGGTAAGTGCTCAGGATTCATGAAGCCCTGAGTTTGATTCCTAGCACCAAATAAACAAAATTTTTAGGGGCTGGAGAGATGGCTCAGAGCTTAAGAGCAGTAACTGCTCTGCTCTTCCAGAGGTTCTGAGTTCATTTCCCAGCAACCACACAGTGGCTCACAACCATCTGTAATGAGATCTGGTGCCCTCTTCTGGCCTGCAGACACACGTGCAGGCAGAACACTGCATAATAAATAAATCTTAAAAAAAAAAAAAAAACTTTTTAAATAAATTTTTAAATAAACGACAGACTGAATGGGGAACAGGTTAGACAGTGACACTAAAGAAGGGCTGAATTCTAATCTTTGGATTTTGATGAAATACAGAAGATGAAATTTTGTTTTCTGTCTTCTGAAATAAGGTCTCACTTTGTAGTCTAGGTTGGCTTCTCATTTACAATCCTCCTGCCACCTCTTTTCAAATGCTGAGATTACACACATGTACCACTACATCCTTCCTGAACCATGCTTAAGTGTACAATTCAATACTATTAATTACATTCATTGGGTTATACAATCATTACCCTAACAGAAACTTTGTAACTATTAGTCAATAGCTTCTCATTCTTTCTTAAAATTATTTATTTATTCTTGTTTTATGTATACTGGTATTTTGCCTACATGCATATATGTGTGAGGGTGTCAGATCTTGGAGTTAAGACAGTTGTTAGCTGCCACGTGGCCGATGGGAATTGAACCCTGGTCCTCTTGAAGAGCAGTCAGTGCTCTTAACTACTGAGCCATCTATCTCTCCAGTCCCTCTCGTTCTTTCTTATCCTAGTCCTCAGTAACTTTTTACTGTTTATAAATTTACTTCTATACTATATACTTCTACTATATACTTTACTTCTATACTAAAATACTTTTATATAGTAAATATAAATCTAATATAAAATAGAATATAAATGTTTCTATCTACATATGTCTATAAATTTATTTTATATATACATATATGTACACATGTCATTTTTTCTCACTGGGTAAAATTCAAGGTTCATCCACATTGCAGCACACAGAATTGAGTATCTATTCATCTGCTAACAGATTCTTGGATTCTTTTCAGCTTCTGGCTCTGTGACAAGCATCCAAATATCCTGAGTCTCTCCTTTCTTTCATTTTTTATTATGTACATGTGTATGTCTACGTAAGAGGTCAGAGGGTATCAGATCTCCTGAAGCTGGAGTTATAGGCAGTTGTGAGCTACCTGATGTGGGTGTTGGAAATCAAATTCATGCCCTATATAAGTATGTCTGTGTTGCAGAGAGGTTCCTTTAGCACTTTAGCCCCAGCACTTGGAAGGCAGATTCTGAGTTCGAGACCAACGTAGACGGTCTATAGAGAGTTCAGAACAACTAGGACTACACAAACCCTGTCTCCAACTAAAAACAAAAAAAAAAAGGGGGGGGGAACCACAATATGTGCTTTTAACCACTGAGTGATCTCTCTAGCTCCTTAATCTCTGCTTTCAATGCTCTTGGGATATGCACCTTGGAATGCAGTTGCTGGGCCACATGGGAATTCTATCTTTAGATTCTGAGGCCAAACTGTATACTGCATAGCTGCATCATTTTACACTCAGCAACAGTATGTAAGGTTTGTAATTTCTCTTCATCCTCATCACCACTAACTTTCTGCTTGTTTTGCATTGCTGGAAATCCATCTTAAGACATGACACAAGATGGGCAAGAGCTCATTTCTAGTTCATTTAAAAAATTCTTGATACAAATGAGGTGGTATCTTATCTGTGATTGACACAGAGTTCCCTGATGACTGATACTGTAGTATTTTTTCATATGTTCATTAGCAATTTATACAGCTTTTTTGGAAAGTGTTTACTCAAGTCCCTTGCCTATTTAAAAACTTGGGTCATTTGTTGTTGAGCTGTATTCCTTGATACACTCTAAATACTAGACCCTTGTCCAATATATAATTTGCAAATACTTCCCATTCTGTAGGTTGTCTTTTTTTTTTTTTTTTTTTTTTGAGCCAGGGTCAGTGGGAATGGTGGTGTATCTTGTATCCCAACACTAAGGTGGCTTGGGTAGAACTGTGTTTCTGAAAGGAAATATAAATAAGGACAAGATGGGTACAGGGACAGGAAAGAAGAGAGACTGACAGGACCTTGCTATGTCTCCGGACTGCTGAGATAACAGAAGTAAACCACCAGACCCACCTTTACTGTTCCTCTGATTTATAAAAATTTCTAGAGGTTCTGATTATTGTTGCTTTTTTATATTTGTGTGTGTATATGTGTACGTGAGTACTCAAGTAGATGTGGAGGTCAGAGGTTAACACTGATTATCTTCCTCAATTGCACTCCTCTTGTATTTTGAGAAACTTGCACTAAATCCAGAGCTTGCCAATTCAGACACGTGCCAGCACCATGCCTGACACACCCCCTTTACCCTAAGTGCTAGAGACTGAACTCTGACCTTCATGCTCACAGGGCTAGCCCTTAACTCACTGAGCCATCTCCCCAGCTGTTGATCCTTTTTTAGAGACAAGTTCTCAGCAATCCCACTACCACTGTCTCCTGAGTGCTAGAATTACAAAAGCATACCACATCATCTAGCCAAAAGTTTGGGTTCAATGAATGTAGTCCTTCCCTCTCCAAAACAATGCCATTTCTTTTTCTTGTATATTGACTAAAATTTACAATATAATATTGACTATCTCTAGTAGAAGACATCTTTTGCCTTTTTCTTGATTCAGTGAGGAAAAGACATCCAGTGTATCACCAAGTTCACTGTTTCTCTCTCCCACTCCCCAACTCCTCCTTGCTGTACACCCTTCCAGGTTGGTTCTCTGAGATAATTTCTTGATATGTAGCTCAAGCTGGTGTTACAGGCATACACCACCATGCCCTGTAGGTCTGTCAAGGAGGTCTCTTCTAGTCCTAGCTTTCCATGGTGTTATTTTGTTTGTTTGGTTTTATTAAGATAGCAGATTTTGTCAATTTTCATCATCCACTAAAATTATCATACTTTTTGTTCAGTCTTCTATTGTAGTATACTGCTTGATTTTCATACGTCAAAGCACTCTTGCCTTCTTGGTTTAAATCTCATTTTAAAAACAATGTATAAATTGCTTTACATATTTTTTAGATTTGATTTGTATTATTTTATTGAGGATTTTGCATCTATATTTATGGAAGCACTGGTCTATAATTTAGAATTAATTGTCTTGTTATATTTTCTTTCTGGTTTTTTTTTTTTTTTTTTTTCTCTTCTTTTTTGGTTTTTTTGAGACAGACAGGGTTTCTCTGTATAGCTTTGGAGCCTATCCTGGCACTCGCTCTGTAGACTAGGCTGGCCTTGAACTCAAAGAGATTCGCCTGCCTCTGCCTCCCAAGTGCTGGGACTAAAGGCGTGAGCCACCACCGTTTGGCTTTCTTGTTATATTTTCACTGGGCTTTCATTAATGGATCACAAGAACCCCATAAAATGAGTTGGGAAGGGACTCTTCATCAATATGATGGATAAGTATGGGATAGACCAGTGCTAACTCTTTAAATGCTTGGCACAATTTACCAGCGAAGTCTTTTGATCCTGAATTTTCTCTGTTAGAAGGTTTATAAATAATTGTTATAGGTCTTTTGAGATTTTCAATTTCTTCCATCATCATCGTATGGGTATTCTGTGCATTTCTAGAAATTGGTTCCTTTAATCTAGAGTTTACAACTGAAGATGAACAACTTTTCATAAATTTCCCTTATGATTTTTTCACATTTCTAGGTCAGCAGTCTTGTCTCAATTCTGATTTCTGACTATGGTTCTAACTATGGTTATCTGCATGTTCCCTCTTTTTTTTTTTTTCCCCCAATAAATTTGCTTTAAGTTAGGGAAGAAGTCATTATAAGGTATAGTCAACAGTCAGCTCTCTATGTGAGCCATTCTTGCTCCTCTTGCTTGATGACAGAGCCTAAGCTTGAGAGGTAAGCTTGACTAATTTAAAGCAGTATTAGAGTAGGGATGCCATTCACCTTGCCAGTGACTGACTCAGAGATTACCAAAGGTCTTGGCCCTGACGTGTTAAGACTCACAGGCAGATCTGTCAGTACACATTAGGACCCTGGGTCCTGGTGGACTTGAAATTTTTTTCCTTTGTCCTGAAAATCAGTGAGGTACAGCCAGGTGGTGGTGATGCACACCTCTAATCCCAGCACTCAGGAAGGCAGAGGCAGGTGGATCTCTGTGAATTCGAGGCCAGCCTGGTCTACAGAGTAAAGTTCCAGGATATCCAGGGATACACAAAGAAACCCTGTCTCAAAAAAATGAAACAAAACAAAACCAAAACACAAAACAAACAAACAAAAAAAGAAATCAGTGAGGTATATTATTTTCTCTCAAACACTTAAGATACCACTATGGTCTTTTATCTTGTCCTTTCTATTTACCTCTTGATTGCAAGCAATTAAACTACCTGAGATCCGTATTCTTTTTAAATCTGAGTTCAAGTTGTTTCCTGCCTACAGTTCAAGGTTTTTAATTTATTAAAAAACAAAACAGGTTGGGCATGATGTTGCACCCTTTAATTCTAGCACTTGGGTGGCAGAGGCAGGAAGATCTCTGAATTTAAGGCTAGCCTGGACTACACAGAAAGCCCCTGTCTCCACCCACATGCCATGCACTACTATAGTCTACAGCAGGTTAATAACATTTTGGAGATGGGAGTTGAACTACTAAAACCATGGCATAAATAACATCTAAGAGATTTACTCAATTATTGGGAGTATACCAAGAATTCTGAGCCCAAACATCAAGTAGCACTATAGCTAAGAACAACCTAATCATAGATCATCTGCTCCAAGCTTACCTCACACAACACTCCACTGCTCTAAACCAGTGAAGCATCTCGTCATGCAGAGTACACAACTGAAGACAAGACAGAAAAACCTTTTCAGCATCACTATACCAGCCTGCATCGGAAAGAAAGCCACCTGAAGAACAAGGAAATCAACAATATTAAGTGTCTCAGTAAACTGTTTAACATTTAAACAAAACACTCCATAATATTAACTTACTATGTTTAACTTTCAAAGAGTTTGATATCTTGCACAGGATGACGGAATAGTAATTTGAAGTAATAATTGCCTGAAACATAATTTTAACTCTGTACAGTTGTGAAAACTATTGACATTACAAAAGTATTACAGCACACACACACACACACACACACACATCTCTACCTTTCCAAGATAATTTTTAAAAGTAGTTTCTGCTATCCTTACAAAATATCTCCACAAAAATTAAAAATAACCAGTTTTGAAAATCAAAACAAAAACAAGACCCTAAAAAGATTTAAATCTCATTCCACAGCATACAGTAAGCAGTTAAAGAATTTGGTGACAGCATGACACAGCAGAATGATGTGCTGTGGGATCAGAGAGGCACAGGATTCTAAACATAGCTCACTAAAAGCTATGAGCTGATCCACTTACTCAACTTCTTTCAGTCTACTTCTGCATATGTAAATACTATTACTGTCATTGTGCTGGAATGCCATGAGAATTCAGGAAGATACCACTTACATGCTGAAGCTGAGTAGGCCACACCTAGGTATAACAGCTGCTCACAATCAGCCTATGCAGATTGTGCCATTACAGAATAAAACACTCCTCTACTTTGTTATTACTTACCTAATACAAAGCCAACCTGGATAGCCTTCTCCTTTACCGCAGCATCTGATTCTGCTATGTAAGAGCACCGTCTACTGAATGAGTAGGCCAAGACAGAAGCAACTTTAACACCATGATCCATCAAAGCCTGAAAACAATGATGAAGCAAATGTCTGAAAGAGAAGAGAAAGGTGATTCTAGAGAGGTAATTGATTTTGCCTCTTTAGAGCTAGCTGGTCCTTTACAAATATAATACTGTTTTCCAAAACAAAATGAGGTGAGGCAAAGTCTGTAACCTGATGGTACTGAAGGATGGGGCTAGCTTTAAAAATTATATATACTTCAATAATAAAAAGAAAACTGGGCTGGGGAGATGGTTCAGCACTTGCCACACAAGCCTGACAACCCAAGTTTAGAGCCTAGATACACATAAAAGCTGAGCACAATAGCACAAGCTCTAGTAGTCCCAATGCAACCCTACAGGGAGATGGGAGGCATGAATAAGAGACTTGTTAGAAGACCATAGGTCAGCTAGCCTGGCATATGCATCAAGGAGCATAAAGAGACACTGTCCAGACAGGAGGTAGTGGCACGTGCCTTTAATCCCAGCACTGGAAAGGTAGACAGGAGGATCTCTTGAATTCAAGGCCAGCCTGATCTACAGAGTGAGTTCCAGGACAGCCAAGGCTGCACAGAGAAACCCTGTCTGAAAAAACAAAATGGGGGTTGGAGGGAGGAAGGGAGGAAGGTAGAGGGGGAGGGAGGTAGAAGAGGGAAGAAGGGAGAGACAGACAGAGAGAGACTCAAGTTAAGGTGTAAGGCAAGGACCAACACCCAAAGCCAGACTGGGCTACAAGACATCCTGTCTCAAAACAAGCCAAACATTCAAATCCCTCACTAAGCACTTTATTATGTATTTATAAAAGTTTGTTATTTGACATTTTCCCATTATATATAAAGAATGATTACTATAATCATTTGCTCTTCAAGGCTTTTCATTGACTTATAATTCCCATGCCATGGAATTTGCTATCATAGCATTCAGTAGTCTTTTGTCTACTCATAAATTTCAATGGTGAAAACATTCTGGAAATGTGTATTACTGATGGCTGAACAAATAAATGTACTTATTTAATATCACTGAATTGTGTACTATTTCATTACTTTATGTGTATGAGTGTTTTGCCTGCATGTATATCTATGTACCACATGTATGCCTGCTGTACTTGAAAGGCCACAAGAGGATGTCATACCCTTGAAACTAGAGTTTCATATAGGTGCTGTCCTACAGGTGCTAGGAATTGTGTCTGAGTCCTCTGGGAGAGCGGCCAGTCCTCTTAACCACTGAACCATCTTTCCAGCCTTGAATTTTATATTTTGAAATACTGTTAAGTTGCAAATTTTATAATATATATATATATATATATATATATATATATATTAGTAGTATATATTTTAGTAGTATTTTGGGTTTTTTTTTGTTTCTTTTTGAGACCCTGTCTCCTATCTGTAATTCAAGCACTCATGCAGAAGATGTTCAGAAGTTTAACAAGTTCAAGGTCATTTTGGGCCACTTGAGATTCTGAAGAAAGGATAGTCAAACTCACAAATGCTAGGGCCCATGCACATAAGTTTACCTTTTATCCAAAGCTCTCAAGACTTTAGCAAAAACTTCCAATTCACAGAATTCACTGCCCAGTTGACATAAGCGTCCCTGTTGGTAAAGCTGTAATAATAATAAAAAAAAAAAGAATTATTTCAAACTTTTTAATGTTACGTTCTACTCTGTGATGACAAAAACTGGATTTAATAGAGGATTTTAATGATTGATTTTTTTTAAGTATTAATACACAGCAATATCAAGATAGAGGCTTACATAAAGAAAAATCTAATGAATTAGAATAGCACCTGGAACATGATAAAGCACCAAGAAGCAGTATTTATCATGTACAATCCCATCATTCAAGAAACTTAAATGTTCTTTTTCTTTAAACAAAACTGGATAATAACAGCAAAAACAGTGTCTAAAATAAACAACTTGTTGATATGTTCTTTTGGGGCCCTTTAGCCAATTCAAGTATTCAGCTTAGTTCTGCATATATTTCATAAGCACTAACATTATATAGTACATTTATCTACAAAACCAGGATGATAGGACTCAAATACATCTGTCTTGTTAGAACTGGATTTTTTTGTTTTGGTTTTTCCAGACAGGAAAACTCTGTGTATACCCACCTGTCCTAGAACACGCCCTGTAGACCAGGCTGGTCTCAAACAGAGATCTGCCTCCTGAATGCTGGGATTAAAGGCATGTGCCACCACCATCCATCAGGAACTGGTACTTTTAAAAGAACAATTTAGGAGACAGGAAGCGGTGACACACAATTTTAATCCCAGCACTCAGGAGGCAGAGGCAAGCAGACCGAGTTTAAGGCTGGCCTGGTCTACAGGGGGCATTCTAGGATAGCCAGGGCTGCACAGAGAAACTGTCTCAAAAAGCAAACAAAATAAAACAAGCAAGCAGAAAAAGAACAATCTAGGGACTGCCAAGATGGCTTAGAGGGTAAAGGAGCTTTGTAGCTTAGCCTGAAGACTAGAGCTCAATCACAGGGACCCACATGTTGGAAAGAAAGAACAAATTCCTCCAACTGTCTTTTGATCTCCACATTATGTGCACAAATATAATTCTCCAGTCTCCACCTCCCTCTTCCCTATATGAGTGTTGGGATTGCAGACTGGGGATTCAAACTCAGATCTTTATGCTTGCATGGCAAGAGTTTTTTTTTTTTTTAACCTACTAGAAATTAAGATTTTTTTCTTAGTGTTTAGGGAGAATTCTGAATATATTGGTTTTGATTCTGCTGTGCACTATTTTGCCCACAAATTTAGAACTTTGGTTATGAATTCTCAGCTTCATTTCTGCATTATTCTGTTGTCAAATAAGTATAACTGATTGGTACCAATAAATTTTACTGTTTCCATTCTCAAAAGTTCTAGGACAGCTAGGTATACACAGAGAAACCCTGTCTGGAAAACAAAACAAAAACAAAAACAAAACCCCAGTTCTAACAAGACAGATGTATATGAGTCCCATCATACTGGATCTGTAGATAAATGTACTATATAATGTTAGTGTTTATGAAATATATGTAGAACTAAGCTGAATACTTGAATTGGCTGAAGGGCCCCAATAGTTGGTTGAAACTATATAGTGAGACTCTAACTCAAAAACAACAAAACCACCCTAAATATGCCACTCCCTTTGAAGTTTTTTAAATTACGGGTTTTGCCTTTAATATTTATTTTTATTTTATGTGCACTGGTGTTTTGCTATGTGTGTCATGTTACCTAGAACTGGGATTACAGACACTAATGAGCTGCATGTGGGTACTGAAATTGAATCCAGGTCCTCAGTGCTCTTAACCACTGAGCCATCTCTCCAGCCCACCACTCCCATTTTAAATCTTCTATATGACTGCACTCACTATGCATTTAGAACATATACAAAACCTTGAATGTAACCAACTCCTGAAAGTCATCTACCCTCACCTTTCTCTTCTTTGCCCAGTCCCTACATCCCCACCATCTTAGTTCTCAGTTCTAACTTTTGGAAATATAAGCCACTGCCCCATATTAAGCACAAGCACCAGAATTCTTTGATTATTTTATAACTAAGATTATCTCTACCAACATGTTACTTTCAGATTTTCATGATACAGTGTGCTTTCTTCCAGAAGCAGACTCAGGACACATATGCATTAACCTAAACAGGCATTTGTTAACCATCACTCCATTACTGCAATCTAAGAAGTGGCTTCAGTCACTACTATGATTCCCAATCCTTAGCACAATGCCTGGTACTAGATACACACTTAAATTTTTTGGAATGAATAATTAAAATTGGTAGTTACTGTAATCTCTGGATGGAACTTGAAACTCAGAAGACACAAATCCAAGACAGTCTCTACTCTGTAGTTTATAATTAGCCAACCAAGTATTCAGTACTGTTATTCTGATATTTTTTATTCAGAAATTGGTGAATATGACAGTAAGGAAAATCCCCAAATTTTACACATTGGTATGTTGCTCCAACCATGTTATGAACACATGAATGAGAAAGTTCTAACAACTTTTGTCTTCTTTCATTCATTCTTCAAGACAGGTTTTCTCTGTGTTACAGCTCTGGCTATCCTGGAATTCAATTTGTACACCAGGCTAGCCCTAGAACTCACAGAGACTTGAATACCTCTGCCTCCCAAGTGCTGGGATTAAAGTAACGTGCCATAAAACCTTTAAAATTTTTTTCTAAGTATTTGTCTTTATTGTTTGTTCTCTCCCCCCCTCCCTCCCTCCCCCCAGTATGTTATTAATTTTGATTTTAAGAGAGTTTCTCTGTGTAGTCCTGGCTGTCCTGGAACTTGCTCTGTAGACCAGGTTGGCCTCAAACTCAGATACACCTACCTGTCTCTGCTTCCCAAGTGCGTGGATTAAAGTCATGTGCCTCCACTTCCTAGCCTTTCCAGCCCTCTTTTAAAAATATTTGTATGAACTTTTGAGAATGTCATACAATGTATTTTGGTCATATTCACTCTTGCCTCCCCCAATTCCTTCCAGATATAACCCCCTACACTGCCAAGTTCAATTTAGTCACACAAATTCTCTTGGTTGTAAGGCCATCCACTGATGCTTGGGTTGGTTCCCAAGGGCCATATCCTTAAAGAAAATCAACTCTTCCTCTCTTGGCCAACAGCTCCTTAGATAGGGATGGGACTTCACGTTCACCTCCTCACTCTGCTGATATTTTGTGTAGCTTGAAGCAGGACTTGTGCACGCTGTCACAACTGCTGTGATTCATATACACAACTGCCCTGATGTTTCGTTGTGATTATCTACATAAGTCTTTTCAGTTCCTTACTCTACAATGAGCCCTGAGCCCTGGAAGGAGGGGGTATGAGCTGAGCATTCCACAGTCATTCTCTGTACCTTGTCCAGTTGTAGGTCTCAGCTGTGTTAACTGCAGTGTGTGTGTGTGTGTGTGTGTGTGTGTGTGTGTGTGTGTGTGTGCGCGCGCGCACGTGTTTTAAGCTAACTTTTTTTAGGGCAAAGGGCTAGTAGAACAGCAACCTCACTTTCCTACTTAGGAGACTATGACAAAAATGGAAAATTGAAAACAAATTTTGAATATGGTTACATTTATTTATAGGTGTTTCCTACTTTAACATCAGATCAAGGTAGATTCATTTCACAAAACTCAGAGCTCACTGTGCCTGTTGTGTCTTCATTGTTTTGATAGCAAAAACCAAAATGCTTTTTATAACATGACTTTTTTAAAAAAGATTTATTTATTACGTATCCAGTGTTCTGTCTGCATGTATGCCTGCATACCAGAAAAGGGCACTAGATCTCATTATAGATGGCTGTGAGCCACCATGTGGTTGCTGGGAACTGAACTCAGGACATCTAGAAAAGCAGACAGTGCTCTTAACCTGAGCCATCTCTCCAGACCCCAGACACTTGGTTTTGCACACGCTAATTGTGTACTCTACCCCAGCCCCACTTTTATTAACTCAATAAATATCTGAATATTTATTCAGATGAATAATTCAGGTGAAAAAGCACCATGCTAGTTTGGAGAAAATAGTGGTGACCCCCCCCCCCACATACCCCACAGCTATACAAAGAACTGTTCTCTTATCTATAAAATTAACCATTATCTATCAGAAAAGAAAAACAGTCCACACAGATTTAGGAAGGTAGCTAAAGAAGTTTAAGAAGACCTATTAAATATCCTCAAGAAATAATTTCAGTTGACTTCTGCAAAAGAATGGAAGTATGATAAATAGCAGTGTCACAGATGCAGACATCTAACCCTTTTTAAACAGAGAAACACAAAGTAAAAATATCATAAAAATAACTCTTGTATAAACATCTGGGCTTGAAACCTTTTTTTTTTTCCCCAAGATGGGGTTTCTCTGTGTAACAGTCCTTGCTGGCCTTGAACTCAGAGCTCTGCTTGCCTCTGTCTCCCAAGCACTGGGACTAAAGGTATGAGCCGCCACCACCACCTGGCTTGAAGCTTTTCAAAAGCAGAAAATCTACAGTTGTCAGAAATTAAGATGTAAACTTAGCCTGATGTGGTGGTGCACTCCTTTAATCCCAGCACTCAGGTGGCAGAAGCAGATGAGTCTCTAAATTTAAGGCCAACCTAGTCTCCTAATCTCTACATAGTGAGTTCTAGGACAACTAGGACCACACAGAGAAATCCTATCTTGAAAAAAACAATTTAAAAAAAAAAAAAAAAAAAAAACCTGGCTGATGTGGGAAGATTGTGAATTTCAGGCCTTCTATGTTAAATAATGAGAATATATCAACCAAACAAGGAACCAGAGCGACGGCTCAGTTATCCAAATGCTTGCACAGCTATCAAGCATGTGGACTTGAGTTTAATCCCCAATATCTACACAAGCAAGGAAGCCTCTCCTAGAATTCTAGCACTCGGGAGGCAGAGACAGGATAATGGGAAAACAAACACATACCCACAGCCCCTTTTCCTTTTTTTGAGATAAGATTTCACTATGCAGCTCTAGGAGGCCTGAAAACACACACACACACACACACACACACACACACACACACCAGAGAGAGAGAGAGAGAGAGAGAGAGAGAGAGAGAGAGAGAGAGAGAGAGAGAGCACTAAGAAACCCTTCTCCAAAACCAAGGTGGAGC